CCGTCAAAATCGGACCAGCACCACCCGCAGCCGCAGCCCCAGCTCCAGTCGCAGCAGCCGCAGCAGCAGAGGCGGGTGAGTGGTCTCCCGCCCGAGTGGCCTGTCGCTGGTGGCGGCAGTGGCCGTGGTGGTGGACGTGCACGTCGTATGCCCCCGGGTGGCAGTTCGGGTAACGGGCGCTGCCAGTATCAGCTCCTGACCGGTCCTCGTCGCGGCTCCGTTTGCGGTAAGACCAGTCACTCCCCTGTTCGCTGCTTCCGTCGCCTTGACGACATGTTTCGTCTTTGCTTCGGCCCGTCACCCGACCTCCCCGACTGGTTCAGCTTGCTACGCCGTAGTATTCCAATTTTTTATAGGGACATGGATGAGCTCAACTCTGCCCTGTATGTGCTGTATGCTGATGACTCTAGTATGACTGGTTCTTACTATCCCGTGTTGCCCAGTGTAGGTGTACCTAGTCTTGCCCCCCCTGCTGCGTTAGGCATAGGACCTCCTGCCTTGTTTAGCCTAGGTTCCCCGCTCGCTACTCCTGCTTCGGTTTCCCTTGCCGATCCCTCCTCCGTTCCGGTAGTCGCTCGTAGTTCTACCACCCTTCCCTGTCCAGTGGCTCCTTCGGGCTCGCTTACAGGCTTGCACGTCCCCTCGTTTTCCATGAACCTAGCTGGTGTTGGCTGCCTCCAGGACCTTGGAGTCACCACTACGTTCCCTGGTCACGAGCGGTTTGCTGTCTGTACTGAGGCCGCCACTGGTGCTCCCCTCGCTACGTTCCCCCGGGACCCAGTGTCTGGCCTGTTCACACTGGATACCGCGCCCCCCCCCCGTTCGGACGCCTCCCCAGGTAGCTGTGTCGTCTCAGGTTGCAGCGGCTTGCTTGTGTCGGTCGCTTACTCACCCGACCCTCCTGTGGCACCACCGTCTAGGTCACCCTACACTCCTGCGTCTCCGTCACATGTCACAGCACGGTCTTGTCCTAGGTCTCCCAGGGTCGTTCCCCGAGTTGCCCCTCTCCACAGCGCCACCGTGCACGCCCTGCGTCGAGAGTCGGCTCCGCCGTGCCCCTCACTCCTCCTCTTTCCCCCCCACCACCGTACCACTACAGACCTTGCACATGGACGTCTGGGGCCCAGCCCCCGTCCATGGACCGCGATGCGAGCGCTACTTTCTCGTGCTTGTCGACGACTACACGCGCTACACAACGCTTTTCTCCTTGGAGCGGAAGGCCGACGTGCCTGACGTTCTTATCTCCTGGCTAGTCTTTGCGCGTGTCCACCGCGGTCTCCTTGTCTTGCATCTTCACTTTGACCATGGGGGCGAGTTTGCCTCCGGTGTCCTTGGTCACTTCTGTCGTACAGAGGGCATCACCCAGACGTTCACCCTGCCGAACTCGCCGCAGCAGAATGGGGTCGCTGAGTGACGCATCGGTTTGGTCATGGAGGTGGCTCATACCTCCAAGATCCACGCCGGTGCAACCCATTTTCTGTGGCCATTCGCGGTTTGCTACGCTGCTCACCAACTTAACCTATGGCCGCACCCTTAGCGGCCGCAGGTTTCGCCGACCCTTCTTTGGACCGGGTCTCCTGGTGACGCGTCTGCGTTCCACGTCTGGGGCTGCCTTGCTTACGTTCGTGCCTCTGGCACGGACAAGCTTACTGCCTGCACCGTCCCATGTGTCTTCCTTGGTTTCCCCCTTTACTCGTCCGACTGGCACTTCTACTACCCGCCGTCCCACCGTTTCTTTCACTCCCGCGACATTACCTTTGACGAGTCCGTTTCCTTCTACCACCGCTTTCCACACCGTGGTCCCTCGGTTACCCCCCCCCCCTGTTCCTGGTTCCCCCGTCCCTGGTAGTCCCAGCCCCGCCCCCCCCGCGTCCTGCCCTGTCCGGTGTGTCTCACGTCACTCCCCTCCCGTCGGTTGTCCCGGTTGAGGGGTCTGCTGACTCTGGTGGCCCAGACCTTGCCGCCTGCCCCCCCCCCCCGGTGTCTCCTCCTCCACCGTCACCCCAGCAGTCGTCGCCACTGCCACCGCCGTCATCGCCGCCGCAGCCGCCGTCCCTGCCGCAGCAGCCGCTCGTCGCCTCTGGTGGTGCTGGAGTTGGGAGCGGTACCAACGCTGGAGGGGTTTCTGGCTCGGGGGGTATTCCCTCTGGGGGTGCAGGAGTGGAGTGTTCCCGTGGTAACCGTGGAGCCGCTTACGGCCTTGGAGTCGATGTTGTGCCGCAGCAGCCGCAGTCCCTGCCGGTGTCAGCCCTTCGCCTGCTCGGCCTTCCGTCCCCTGACCCTGCATCTGTTCCTCTCCTGCCGTCCCCTCCTCTTCCGGTCTACGGCCCTGTGTTCCCTCCCCCGGACTCGTCCCCGGCTCGTCTCCCTCCTCGTTCCCCTCTTGTGTCTCCTCCTCTGTCTCCTGACGCGACGCCTTTATCGCACGTCTGGTCTCGTCGTCCCTCCTGTGCTCGCCCTGTCTCCCTTGTCTCGCGCTCCCACCCTATGTTGCTTCGTTCCCATGTGGCTCGTCCTCCCTCCTCCCATCGCCTCCTCCGTCCTCCCTTGTCGTTGCGCCTCCCCCTCTGTCTGACTACCTTCGTGCCGCTCGTCCTCTTGTTCCTCGGGTCCTTGCCTCTCTCGTTACCGGCCCGTCTGTTCCTGTTTCGCGTCTTGACGCTCTTGTCGCTGCGGTCGCTGACTTCGCCTCTACCCGCCGCCTTGACTACGCCACCGCTCTGGTCTCTGACCCTGCCTGTCCTCCGTCTGTCGGGGGTGCTCCTGCCCTCGGCAGTGACGTCCTGGAGGACCGCCAGTACGAGCTTGCTTTCCTGTCCGAGGCTGCTCCCCATCTCTGTTCCATGCTGCTAGTCCCTGAGGGTGACCCAGACGCTTTCGACATCCCGACCCCTCGCACTTACGCTGAGGCGGTTTCAGGCCTTGGGCCTCTCAGTGGATTGCTGTCATGGAGCAGGAGATGGCATCTTGGAGATCCACCGGCACCTACATCGACGCAGTTCCCCCACCTAGGGTGAACGTAGTCGATGGCCGCTGGCTCTTCAAGGTGAAGCACCCCCCTGGAGAGCCGCCTGTGTTCAAGGCGCGCTACATGGCCAAAGGTTTCAGTCAGCGTGAAGGGGTGGACTTCTTTCAGACCTTCCCTCCGACCCCGAAGATGACTACTCTTCGGGTTTTGCTACACGTAGCAGCTCAGCGTGACTACGAGCTTCACTCCCTCGACTTCTCCACTGCCTTTCTTCAGGGCAGTCTACACGAGCAGCTCTACCTGCGCCGCTCTCAGGGCTTCACTGGTACCTTCCCTCCTGGGACCTAGTGGCTCCTTCAGCGCCTCGTCTACGGCCTGCGGCAGGCTCCCCGTGAATGGCACGACACGTTGCGTGCTACCCTTGTTGACCTGCAGTTCTTTCCGTCTTCTGCAGACCCCTCGTTCTTTGTTCGTGCTGGCCAGACTCCGTTCTACATCCTTGTTTACGTAGACGACTTGGTCTTTGCCACTGCAGATTGGGACGCACTGGCCTCGATGAAGGCAGAGCTGCTGAAGAGACACACCTGCACTGACCTTGGAGAACTACGCCACTACCTTGGCTTGCAGATCTCCAGGGACAGAGCTGCGCGCACCATCACCTTGACTCAGTCACACTTGGTGCGCCAGGTCCTTCAGAGGTTCGGCCTTCAGTTCTCCTCTGCACAGCCCACCCCTCTGCCTCTAGACCACAGGCTCTCTGCTCCGGTTCCTAAGGAGTCAGTAGAGCCCAGTGGTCCTTACGCAAAGCTGGTGGGTTGCCTCATGTACCTGATGACTTGCACTCGCCCAGATCTCGCATACCCTCTCAGCATCCTGGCTCGCTTTCTGGCCACAGGCAGACACCGACCTTATCACTGGTCTGCCGCTAAGAGGGTTTTGCGTTATCTTGCTAGTACATCGGGCATGGGGTTAGTGCTAGGAGGACGCAGGCCAGTGGTCCTTCCTGGACACACAGACGCTTCTTGGGCAGACGACGTCGAGACCCTTAGGTCCTCGCAGGGCTACTGCTTTAGCCTTGGTTCAGGTGTCGTCTCGTGGAGAGCTACCCGCTCCTCGTCTGTTGCCCAGTCCAGCTGTGAGGCCAAGATCTACGCCGGTGCCGTGGCGGCACAGGAGCTCCACTGGCTGACCTTCTTGCTCACTGACTTAGGTGAGCAGCCTAGCTCTGCCCCGGTCCTGTACGTTGACAACAGGTCCATGATCTTCCTGTGTCAGGAGCCTCGACTCGAGGGCAGAGCGAAGCACATCCACTTGCGGTACTTCCTCCTGCGTGAGCTACAGCAGCGTCGCCAGGCTCGCGTAGTACACTTGGCCTCCGGTGCCAACACAGCTGATATCTTTACGAAGGCGCTTGCGCCTAAAGATCATCAGCGGCACTGTTTACAGCTTGGTCTCGTTCCTGTAGTCTCTCACTTGCTAGGGCCTTGGGTTTGTACTGTCCTTTATATATATTTTACCCTGACTGGCCTTGTGGCCTCTCCTAGTGGCTGGACTAGTAGTGCTGCCCTGGTCTTGCTCTTGCCTTATCTGTACTCCTTTTGACTGGTCTTTAGACCCTTGTCTCAGAGGCTGGACTAGTAGTGCCGCCCTGAGCTGCTTCTTCCCTTGTTAGGCACTGCCCCTATATAGTTTAGGGGGTGTGTCAAACATAACTTATGTTGTTCCTGTAGACTATACAGGTTTGTGCCTTAGAGGGTACAGCACTCTAGTCTATATTGCCCTGTATCTTCCTATTCTAGTCATTCTCTCTTTCTAACAATGGGCACTATATTTTTCCGGGCCACTGACCCAATCATTTTTTTAGTGAATTTTAATATCCACCATAGGGTATTATATACTAGGGATTACGGTATATCTTGGCTTGCCATTCCTTGTATTGTCATTCAGTGATTCAACACTTGTTCATTCATAAAAACTCGGGTGTGTGAGTAACCATCCTGTCGTGTCGCTGCAGCAAGCTTTGCTGTGAGGAGAATGCTGTGGCTGTAGTTGAACATATACAAACAGTTCCAATGTGGAAGAACGTATCTACTACCTGGTCGTGTTAGCTACATGGTACAGTTATAGTATTCTCTAGAACAGGAAAGCCGATAGAACAGTCCACAGCTACGCACATATATGATAGATGCTTGTATATCTGAACTGAAGCTGATGTGACCCTCAGCACGAGGGGACCAGTACAGTGGTACGCTCCTTAAGCGCAGGTCTGGTCAGTAGTGACCAGCACATTTGCACCCCCCAGCACCACGCCCTTTTGCTTCAATATCGCCTCCAAACCTGCCAGAACATCCGCAGACACTGCTTTCTGCCTTGCTAGGACCAGCACCTTAGCCTGTAGTTCGCAAGGCATGGAGAAAAGGAGAAAGGAGAGAGGTAAGGGGAAAGGTGGGATGCGGTTTAGAAGGGGAGGAGATGATAGAGAGGAATTACGTAAACGAAAATGTCAAGCAGAGGTAACAAGACGTCAAACTGATGAATTCCATTTCTACGTCTCGTGCCAGACCTATCACTCCCCAAACCTCACCTGTCCGTCCGTGGCTGCGAGCTTGGCTCGGTTAGCCGCGGAGCACCCGTACAGCACGACCAGGTCAAACCCCGGCATCGCATGCACCACCGCGTATCGCACTGCGGGACTCCCGCCCATCTTCACCACCACACTGCCGTCCCCCTGCTTGCCCTGCACCAGAGAGCCCCTCACACTGACGCTCTGAGTGAGGTTGATGGGCGACTCGAAGAGGCTGGCGGCGGCGGGCGTGGCGAGGGAGGAGAGGAGGCCGATCTTGGTGGCCGAGACGGCCAGCGTGCCAAGGGCGGACGCCTGCCGCTGCAGGGCGAGTGTGGCGTTCAGCAGCTGGGGGGGGAGGAGGGAGGAAAGGGGGATGGGGAAGGGGAGGATGGGTTGGCACGGGGGAAGTGCGGAAGGGGTGGGGGTGAGGGGGGAGGAAAGGGAGGAGGGGGGAGGAGAGGGGGGAAGGAATGGGGGAGGCAGGGAAGGGGTGGGGGCGAGAGTGGCAAGTTGGCTGCTGGGTAAGCTGTAGATGGGAGGTAGGCAGACCGAGGGAGAGTTACTGGTGCGCAACGGTGGGGAGGGAGGTCGCACCTGGAGGCGGTTCTTCTTGGACGCAGAAGACGCCTTCACGCCCATCACGCCCAGGCGCATCTGCTCCGCCTGCTTTAATATCCTCCCCCTAGACCGCTGAATCGCGTGCACGGACCGCCGAATCGACTCCGTCATATTTCCGATCCGGCTCCGCAGCGCGCTCAGCTTCGGCACGCGGTCGACCTGATTCGCCGGCGCGAGATCCGTCTGGATTCGCTCCAGCTTCAGGTGAATCGCGCCGGCCTGCGCGGAGATCTGCCCTAGGGACGCGGAGATCGCGGAAAGGCTGGTAGACGTCAAGCCGGCAGTTTTGCCGTCCAAATCGGCGGCCGGCACGCCGAGTTTGGCCTGGTTGACGAGCGACGCGTAGGAGAGCTCCGAGGGGGCTGTCTTGCCGGCGATCGCGGCGCACACCCCGCGGAGGTTGCGCGCGGAGCGGCGGGAGGCGGAGGCGATGGTGCCGACCTGCGCGGCGCGGATGGGACCCACCGACTCGACAGTGCGGCGGGTGACGCTGCGGAGATGTGGGGAGGGAGGAGGGGGGTTGAAGAGGAAGGGGTGAGTAGGTCCCTTGAGTCGCCTGGAAAGTCTAGAAGGGAGAGGCAGGGGGCGGGACCCACCGACTCCACGGTGCGCCGGGTGACGCTGTGAGCGGTCAGGGCGAGGGGCGGGGAGGGGTGAACGAGGAGGCATGACGACGAGGACAACAATGGGCAAGGGGGACAGGGGTTTTGGGATGGGGGAGGAGTTGCACGGCAGAAAAACATGGTGGGCTTGCGACCACATGGCGGGGCGTATCGAGGAGAGCGCATACCGCATGGCATTGAGCCCGTTCTGTTTGGGCGCGGCGGCGAACTCAAACGCCGTGCACGCCGCGCCGAGCTCCGCCGTGAACTGCTGCGCCGACGACGCCGCCACCTCGTACCACCGCCCCTTGAGCTTCCCTACATCCAGACTGCCCAAGGGTTGCACTGCGGGGCACCTGCGCGGGTTGCTCGCGAGGTACTGCTTGCAGAACGCGAGATTGTCGCCACTGGCTGCGGCTACAGCGGTTACGGCGAGGCTCGTTGCTGCTAGCGCGGTTGCGAGAAGCAGGAGAGAGAGACTGGGTTGAGTCCGACAAGTTCGAGGGGCCATCGTGAAGTGCGCCAGCCCGTGTGCCTGTCGAGAAGAAGCTTTTCAGTTCGAGAGTGTGAGGTTGTAGACGAGGGAGCTTGACTAGGGAAGGGCCTGACGACTCGTGAGCTAGTGCTAGGGTGAGAATGCAGAGCTGAGGCTGAATGGTTGTGCTGGCTGCTGAAATGTGAGTGGAAGTGAACGAGTGATGAGCCAAGCATGCATCTGATTTTGAATGTGCGCGAGGAATTGTCGCACCGCATGTTGCATTTCACATCAGGACCCGCGCGCTTCCGTGGCGCTTGTGGAAATTTGACGGTGTCGGTTCGGTGTGACTCGGTTCACGCAGGCACCAGCGGGCGGGCTCGCGACGAATCGCCTGAGCGTGGAATGAAGGGGACCCACGAAACGGAACATTAGGGCAGCTAGGGCTGACAAAAGTTGGAGCTGTGAAAAGTTTTATTCTGCGAAACTTCCAATACTTTGGATACTTGACGGCTTCCACGACATCGTGGCGGTGTCGGCGACGGAGCCATGCTAGCTAAACATGTCGCCGTGTCAATGATTGAGTTCTGGAAGCATCGCAGACAGTCGCATGATGCCAACATGAATGCATGCCTCATCCGCGTTTGTGGGATTTTGGCTGATGCAGATACAAGCATCTATACTCAAGGGTGCAACATATGGACTCCACAATACTTAAGTTGTTAGCTGTACGACATAAAAAGGTCAAGTTCAAAAGTGTATGAGCTTTAATTTATGTTATTTGCCTCGAGAGGGATATACCTTCAATACAAGATAGCCGATTCCAAGGCAGACGCGGCTCCGGTGTTTTTTTGGCTGACGAAGCTCAACGATTCGCCCTACTGTGAGTAACTACTCCTGTGACTGGTGGAAACCCTTTTCGCCAAGCCATGCGTGGGTCTTCAACGGAGCCGCTACATCTCACCGCACGATCGCTGATTGACCGGCGCCTCTGTGTGACTGTAGGACAGGTAATGCGCGACTCGAAATGTCAAGTGGCTCACACGTACCGCCCCCCCTTTCTCGATTTCCATTCGCCCTTCTTCCTCAACCACCACTCATTCCCCCATCCCCCACCTTGGCCCCCTGCCCCATCATCCCTGTGCTCTTCCCTCGAACCGAATCGCCCACTCCCACCTCCTTTGCATTTGATTGAGCGACGACTCCTTACGGACCAATCGCGGCAGGGCCTTCCCCCACCTGGCGCCCAGTCGCTGCAGCACCACCAGCCCCGCCTGGCCCCGCCATTCGATCTGACATGGGAATTGCTGCGACGTATGCTTACCTTCTCTGGAATTATGTGCCGGTTTCAGCGATGGCCAATCCGACAGGCATCGGCCATTCGTCCTTCTGTGTCAAACTCACTCTCATCTCGAGTCTCAACTCGACCTCCATTCGGGTCGTATCCTAGGCGTATGACCAGAGACCCTCCTTACGCCATCAAAGCCATTGCCCAGCAATTAGTGGGACCAAACTAAGAGATCAGGCGATTCGAGTTCTCAGCACTCAGACGCAAGTGACCTAGTCTATCCAGACCTAGCGAGCGTTGACTGGAGTGCTGTAAGTAATCGTTAGACGCGGAGCTTTTCGAATAGAAGTGGATCAGATGCTGCCTCACGCCGCGGCGACATGCCGACTTGACTAGGCAATTTCCTGAACTTCTTTTCTCGAATAGAGCGCGGCGAGGGCGATGGATCGGTATTCCTCCATCCCGCTGTTCCCTGGCCCTGCTAACGACGCAGAGCGAAACTCGGGCGCTGAGGGAGGGGAGGGTAGTATAGTGGCGGGTGCGAGAGGTGATAGTAGCGATGCTAGTAGTGCAAGCGGAAAGGTTAGTCTTAGGATCAGCACTGCCGCCGCTGATGGCCTTGGCGCGGCAGCTGCGCTCAACTCGCGCTCGACCGCAACATCCACTAAGAACGCGCCTCGATTTAAGTACAAGCGCACACCGTCGCCCCGAGCCTTGCGTGACAGTTCCCCCCGAAGCCGCCGCCCCGCTTCCCCCCGACGAGCGTCCCCCAAGGGCCCCGCGCGCACCCTGGGCGCGGCAGAGAAATGGGCGGCGGCGCAGATGGCGCAGGAGCGCATGCAGCGGGGAGCCCTCCCGCACGCGGATGATTCTGGGTTTCTTTCGGAGCCCGAGGGGGGAGGTATGCGCGCAGCCTTGCGCGCACGGGCGCATGGGGGAAGCGCTGGAGTTGCAGGCGCTGCTGCGATCCGCGCAATGACGGCGCAGCGGTTTGCGACAGAAGCCGCGCAACTGCGCGGACTGGAGCAGGCGCTGGCGCGGGCGGCCTCAGTCGGGGAGCGCACACAGGCACAGGCGGGGACCGGAACCGGCGGCACTGCGTACTCAGCTACTGGTAGCGAACAGAAGGCCACGGGTTCGAGTCTCGCGACTGGAGCGAAAAATGGCAGTTCGGTAACACAGCTGATCCATTCGAGCACCCTCGCTTCAATCACCGCAGCAACAAACCCGGCAGCGGAACGACCGGCGAGCAGAACAGGCCAACTGGCAAAGCCTGTAGCCGCTACAGTCTTCAAGCTCCGCGCGAACCCCGCGGGGACACCTGCGCTACAGATCTCCCCGCTCTTCCTAGCGTACCTCGAAGCTTCGAAGAAGCTTCACGGTCACAGCGTGTTCGAGCTGTCGTGTCAGCTGTCCTCCGTGCACCTCTGGCCGCAACAGGCGGCGCAGTTCAAGGGGGTCGCCATGCGCCTGCTGCACGCGGGGGGGGCTCCGCATCAAAGCTCAGCCGCGCGTCCGGCGGGGGGAGCTGGCGGACTCGGCGGAACCGGGGGAGCAGCGTCGGGGGGGAGAGGCACGGACTGGGAGGCGCTACGACGGAGCCCGCTGCTGCAGTTCTACGTGTTCTCCCGCCAGATGCTCCTCGACCTCCTCGCGTCCTCCGCCGCCGTCCTCGACGTTTGCCCCCTGGCGCCCGTTGCGGCTGACGCGCCTGCCACGGAAATGACGTCAGAAGCGTCGTCCGAATCGACGTCAGCAGGCTACGGCAGTCGCGCGAACGCTTCTTCCGCCTTTTCTGGTATTGCGCTCTCGTTCGCGCGCAAGCTGTCGGACCTTCGCTGCCTCCAAGCCGCCATGGGCGTCTGCCGTCGCTGCCGCAAGAGCGCCGCTTCTCGCGGCGATTCGGGGTGCGATTGCGCAGCTGACGGCGGGGATCACGAAGTGTCCTCTCCGCAACTCGCGGAGAAGTGGCTGGCGCTCAGCTGCGGGCGAGAGGAGGCGCGAGCAACTGGGGGGGGTAACGCGGGAAGGGCTGCGATTGGCTCGTGGGAGAGTGAGGGCGCGGAGATGCTGGAGGTGGTGGCTCGAGTGATCACAGCCGTCCGATCGCAGGAGATCATCGGCAAGTTCAAGGAGCGCATGGCTGAGATCGAAAGCGCGGAGAGCGGAGGCGGAGGGGGGATGGGGAAGGACCGCTTGGCGGAGGCGCAGGCGGTAAAGGAGGCGGAAGAGCGCGTGGCGGGAGCGCTGGAGCGCGCATGGGTGGGGGGCGGGGAGGGGAGCGCGGGGGGACAGGAGGAGGGCGGTGGGGGAAGCGGAAACCTGGTGCCCGTGCTGCTGCCGTGCCACACCCACACTGCTGCTGCCTCTGCTTCCGCCTCTTCCGCCTCTTCCGCCGCCTCCCTTCAGCTTCAGCTTGTGATTTTGCCCTTCGTGCTGCCCTTAGCTAAGCAAGAGCAGCGGCAGCAGCAGCAGCCATCCCACACTCAAACCCGCGTTCAGCCCCCCAAAAGCGGCCACGTGTTGCCTTCGCAGCCGCGTGACGTGGCGCGCTGGCTCGTGCACATGGGATGCGTCGACGCGTCTCTCCGGCACATGGCAGCTGCTGACGTGGACCGCGTCCTCTGGGCGCTGGAGCGGGGCCTTGTGGTAGGCTCGGCTGCGATCAGCTCAGGCTCGGCTGCAGGCTCGGCAGGGAGGAACGGGGGACGGGAAAGGTTGCTTCGGATGCAGCAGCAGGTGGCGGCGCTGGTAACCCTGGTGCTGGACCCGCAGATCCCGCCGTCCATGGCTCCTGCTGCCGCTGGTGCCGGCCGTCACAAGGTGCTGGAAGCGGGTGCAAGCGCGAGTAGCAATGCTGGCGGTGACGGCTCGGCTGCTCCGAGTGCTCCTGCTGACACTGCTGCTTCTGCTGCTTCGTCTGGTGTTGCTGGTGCTGACGCTACCCCTGTCGCTCGTGTCGGTTCCGAAGCTGGCAGTGAAGCGGTGGTGCTAGTGCTGACTGAACGCGACAGTAGCAGCATTGCAGAAGGAGCAACGGAGAAGGAGAGCAGTGAGAGCAGTGAGGGGAGTGAGGGGAGTGAGGGGAGTGAGGGGGGTGAGGGGGGTGATGATGCTGGGGAGCAGTTTGGAATGCCCGTGGCGCTGCTGCCGTCCAAGCTCGCAGCATTTGCTGACATCGGGCTGCCTGCCGCCTGTGCTGCCGCCGCTGCGTTCTCTGATATCGGCCTGCCTGCCACACCGCCTCCTGCTGTCGCCGCCGCTGCGACTGAGGAAGGAAGAAAGGAGGAGGAGAAGGGGGAGGGGGGAGGGAAGGAGGCGGAGGAGGAGAGCGAGGAGTGGCACGATGCGGAAGAGGCAGTGGAGCAGGCGGAGGGGCAGGTGGAGGAGGGGTTGGGGGAAGGGAAGAGGGCGGGGGAGGGGGAGGGGGAGAATGAGGAAGGGGGAAAGGTGGAGGCGCGGTCTAGTGCGTTGCAAAGCGCTGCTGACTCTCCGAAGTCTCCTGGAAGCGTTGAAGGGAAGGAGAGAGAAGAGGGAAGCGAGGCAGAGAGGAAGGAGGAGAGTGAGAAGAGGGTAGAGAAGCAAGGCGAGGAGAACATGGAAGTGGGGGGAGCGGCGGAGCAAGAGGATGCGCTGCTGGCGCAACTGGCGGCGCTGATTCCGGAGGGGAGGGAGGAGAGAAGGGAGGGGGAGGAGGGGAGTGTGCAAGAGGCGGCCATTGCAGGTGCATGCGCGGGGGGAGAGGGAGAGGGGAGAGCAGAGGCGGTGGTGGGACGGACAACGGGTGGCGAGAAGGGGGAGGGGGTGCGGGAGAAGGGGGAACGGCAGGGGGAGAAGGGGGAGAAGGGGGAGGAGGTGCGCAAGTCCATGGACCTGGATGACATGGTTCTGATGTGCGAGCGGATGCTGGAGGGAGAGAGAAAGGTGAAGGGGGAGGATAGGGTGGATAGGGAGGCAACGGTGGAGCAGAAGCAGGCAGCGGCTGCAGGAACAGAGGGCCTGGTGGAGAGCGGTGGAGAGAGCGGGAGTGAGGCGGAGAGGTGGAGTTCCCAAGGGTCGGAAGTCAGCCTGTCTGCAGGCGGCACTGCGTCAACTTCGACTGGCTCGACTGGCTCATGGGATCATGCTCCCAATGATGCACATGCAGATGCGTGTTGTGAGGCGCCTCTTAACGGGGATACAGAGGGGCCTGATTCCCTGCCGGTGCTGCTCCCGTGCGTCTCCCCTCCCATGTCCCCTCGCGCAAGGCCGGCCGTCCAATCGTACTCCGCCACGTCATCACCCGCCTTCCGTGCCCAGCTGCCCTCAGCAGCGCTTGAGTGGCGCGGAAAGTCATCTCTATCAGCTGTAGCATCGCCCAAGGCTGCGCCGTCACCTGTCCCATCCTCGGCTGTAGCGCCGGCCAAGGCTGTGCCGTCACCAGCTGTGGCATCGCCGAAGGTGGTGCCCTCACCAGCCTTCACCTCCCCTGCCCTCCGAGCAGCCGCAGCCGCCAGGGCGGCAGCTGCTGCTGCCACTGCGGCCGTGGCTCGCAGCATGGATGGGGGCATGGGAGGCGTGGGGGGCATGAGGGGCATGAGGGGCATGCATCCCATGCCTGACGCCCAAGGCCCCTCTGCCCCAGAGCAGCCGGCAGATGGCGGCACTCACAAGGCATCCTCAGCGGCTAGCTCGCCCCTGCTCTCCCGCATGCAGCACATGCAGCAGCACATGAGGGCAGCAGCCAAGGGCTCTCCTGATACCGCCAGAGCCCTCCCTCCGTTTCTGCCTCCACCTCTTGACCTCGGCGGGTCCCACGACAGCACTTCCTCTACTGGTGCTGCTGGTGCTGCTGCTGGTGCTGCTGGTGGGAATGGGGCCCAGGTGTCAAGAATGGGAGGTTGGCAGAAGCAGGGAGAGTCGACGGCGGCCAAGGCAGCAGTGGTGAGGGCGGAGGCGGCCGCGGCTGCGGTGACGGCTCTGGTGGCCCGCATCACCCACGAGCAGGCGCTCATGCGGCGGTCCGTGGAGAAAGAGGAGCAGCGGGCCCAGGAGCGGGAGCGGGAGAGAGAGATGGAGAGGGAGATGGAGAGGGAGAGGGAGGACGCGAGAGAAAGGGAGAGGGAGAGGGAGAGGGAGAGGGAGAGGGAGAGCAGGAGGGGAATGGAGAAGGAGAGGGGAAGGGAGAGGCAGAGGGAGAGAGGGGGCGCCGGGGGAAGGGTTGGTGGGGGGAAGGGGATGTCAGGCGCGCAAGGGGCGGGGATTGGCGGGACTGCAGCGTCGTTTGACTTCTCCCTGGTGTTTGGGGGCAGGGATGGGGGCAGGGGGAAGGGAGAGAGGGGGGAGAGGCAGGATGGGGAGAGGGAGGAGGAGAAGGTATCTCGGTCTGTTGACTGGGCGGAAATAGGGAGGATCGCGAGGTGGGAGGTGGTTGTGGAAAAGGAAAGGTGTGGGGAAGAGAAAGAAGAGGAAGAAGGGGAGAGAAGAGGAAAAGAAGTGAATGTTGAGGAAGGGGCGGAGGTGAACCAGGGAGGTGGTGAGGTGGATGGGAACAAGGATGGGTCAGACGAGGAGGCAGAACGGGAGAAGGAGAGTGGGGAAGAGGTGGCAGAGGAGGGGAGAGAGGAGACGGAGGCGACGGAGAAGCAGGAGCGGCTTGCAGCCGTGGCAGCAGCTGCAAAAGCAGCGGCAGAGGCGGCAGCAAAGGCAGCAGCGGCTGATGGCACTGGCACGAGCACGGCCAGTGGGGTAGAGTGCAAGGAGGGCTGGGTGGAGATAGAGGAGGAGGAGGATGATTCTTCCTGCCAGACCTCCTCTCACTCGTCCGAGGACCGGGTGACTGTGAGGAGCTACGAGAGCGAGAAAAAGAACGAGGCAGAAACCAGCAGCAGCAGTAGCAGTGGCAGTGACAGTGGCGGCTCCAGCAGTGGTGGCGGCAGCAGGAGCAGCGAAAGCAAGAGCGAGAGTGCAAGTGTGGTTGGGAGTGGGAGTGGGAGTGGCAGTAGGAGTGAGAGCGGGAGTGAAATAGAGCTTGAGTCGGCCAGTGGGGTTAGCATCAGCACTGCCAGTGCGGCAGTGGCAGGAGGCAGTGACAACCCTGCTGCCAGAGCCAATGGCAGTGCGAGCGACAGTGGCAAGGGCAAAGCCTCTGCAAGCAGGGAGAGCACCGGTGAGGTAAAGACGCAGCACAAGCAGAAGCAAGAGCAGACCACCACGCTTGCTGCCAAGCCTGAGGGGACGAAGCTCACCAGGTCTGGCAGTGGCAGCAGGCCCGGCAATCGCAGCAGGTCCGGAAGCAAGGCCAGCAGCAGCAGCAACAGGCCCGGTAGCAGTTCAGCGGGCGCCACACTTGGTGCTGCCGCCGGTGGAGGCAAGAGCAGGAGCAAGCGCCAGCGCAGCAAGGGCAGCAGCGGCAAGAGCAGCAGCAGCAAGTCTGGGAAGCAGGCAGGGGTGGGTGGCAAAGGGAGCAAGGCCAGCCCCTCTCTAGCGCCTGTGCTGGACCCTGTCACCCTAGTAGAGCCGGTGATTCAAGCCGTGACGGTTGATGCTAATGAGGGGGACAGCAGTGCAGCAGCAACAACCACAGCAGCGGCAGCAAGAGTGGGAGCAGGAGAGGGAGTGGGAGCGGAGGAGCCATCGGGCGGTGAGCAATTCGGTATGCCGGTGGCTCTGCTGCCGTCTCACCATGCATCCTTCACTGCTATTGGCCTCCCTGCCGCGCCTGCTGCTACCGACGCTGCTACTGTCTCCTCTGCTGCCGCCCGCACTGCTGCCTGTGACCCTACTGCTTCTCCTTCTGCCGTGGGTGACGTTGTGACCCCTAAGACTCCTGCTGTTGGTGTGGCCGCTCAGGCTCCTGTGGCTGCTGTGACTGCTGTTTCAGCGGCTACTGCGACTGCTGTTTCTGTGGCTGCTGCGACTGCTGTTTCTGGAGATGATGTGACTGCCGCTGCTTCCACCTCACCTGCCTCCAAGTCTCCTCCCAAGGCGTCTTCTGCTCCACTCTCCCCTGCTCCTCCTTCCACTGCTGCGGCTGCTGCTGCTGCTTGTGCTGCTACTCCTGCTGCTGGTGATGGCATGACAGGCAGCGCAGCAGGCACAGAGAAAGCAGCACATGAAGAAGTTAGAGTGGTAGAAGGCAAGGATCATGGGGAGCAGGAGGGAGTGGATGTCAGGAGAGGAGAGAAGGAGGCGCCAAGTGTTGAGGTGCCTGCAGGAGGTGCAGGGAGGCAGGCAGTGAGAGACGGCCCAGCAGGCGCTGGGCGGGGGCTGAGCATGCTGGACCGACTCAAGGCACAGGCACGCGTGGAGGCAGCTGCGGCGCCAGGGAGGAAAGGCAGACCCAACAACAGCAGCAGTGGCAGCGGCAGCAGCAGCGGGAGTGGCAGTGGTGGCAGCAGCAGTGGTAGCGGCACTGGCAGCAGCAGTGGCAGTGAGACCGGCAGTGACCCTTCAGCTGAGGGCATCTCCATGGTTGCTGCTGGCAAATCAGCCTCCCTCCCTGTCCTCCGCTCCCCTCTCGCATTCCCTGCAGCAGCTGCTGCTGCAGCTGGTGCTGCTAGCACTGGCGCTGCAGCCGCCACAGCCCCTACCTCCCGCCCAATCCGTAAGGGCGCCCTCAAAAAGCCCGGAAGCCCTTCCCGTTTTTCTCAGAATCAGAGCCAGCAGGAGGGCAAGAAGCTCATCCCCCGCGTGTCCTTCGCGGCAGTGGCTCTCCTGCTGGTGCCAGGAGTGGGCGTGGAGCAGGTGACAGTGAGCATGGAGGCAGACGACAACCGAGCGCCCCTTGTCAGCCGCAGCGGCGTCCTCGCCCGCTCCACCTCCCCGGGCAGAGGCTCCCCCTCCCCCAGTAAAACCCCATCCTCCTCTTCCTCCTCCCCCTCCCCTGCTAGGGGCTCTGCTTCCCCTGGCTCGTCCGCTTCCTCTGGCAAGAGCGGGCTGATTTCCCCCAGGGGGCTGATTTCAGCCAGGGGAGGGGCGGCAATGGTCTCGCCTGGGAGGGGAGGGGTGGCAATGGTATCCCCTGGGAGGAAGCCCATTGCTTCCCCGGGCAGAGAACTTTTGTCCTCCGGCAGGAGCGGCAGGGGCGGGAAGGATCGGGCAGCGGGAGAGAACGAGGCCCGGGCTTTGGTTCGGGAGCGGCCGAGCAGTGGAGGAGGTGCAAGTGACCATGAGTCACAGAGCAGCGATGACCATGGTAAGTTGAGTTGATGTACACAAACTGCTTTACACTGCTTGCATGCTCTCGTGCTGCTCTTGTGCTCACCATCACCTCCACTCATCCTCTCCTGCATCCTTCTCTCCCCCCTCTCCAATCCAGCCCCTCGGGAGCACAGGGCACCCACCCCAGCCCGTCCTCGTCGATCCACCTCCACCAATACCTCTGCACCACCCTCCACCGTACCCTCCGCCTCCACCCCCTCCCACACTCCCCGCTCCTGGCTCTCCCTCTCCTTGCACGCCCCGCAGCCATCCCAACCCCCACAGCTCTCCCCTCCGTCCGACGGTCCGCTGCTGCGTGACTCCTCTGCGCCTGCCTCCACCGCTCCCTCTGTCTCTCCTGCTCCCCCTACCTCCATGCGTGATCGCATGAAGGACTACGACCGGTCCCGCATCGACCGTGTGAGGGAGGGCGGCATGCCTCTCGAAGCCCCTGCTGTGTCCTTCGGTGGTGCGGCGCTTATGCGTGACTCCTCCTTGGGTGCTCCCCTCGTGCGTGACGCCTCCCTGCCGCTGCCTCTGGTTCGAGATTCCTCTCTGCCGGCCCGCCTCTTGCACAATCAGCCAAGCCAGCTGCCTCAGCAGCAGCAGGCAGGAGGCAGCCGGGAGGCCCCAGCAACCATTCCCGAGGACGAGGACGTTCTTCCGCTTCGCTCCCGCCGCAGTGCCAAGCCCTCCTCGCATCTCACCTCCCATGCTGGCGCCACGCCCCGCCACCCACGCTCCGCTGTCAAGGCGTCCCCCTCACAGAGCAGCAAGGGGTCACCTGGTGCTCTCTCCACGTCCGCTTCAAGGGTGTCCTACTCCACCCCACCGTCACCTGCTCGTTTTGGCCTCGTTCCCCCGTCTCCCACGCACTCCCTTGTTTCTTCATCGTTTGCTCGAATCCCGGCATCGCCTGGTCGCGATTTGTTCGGGGGTTCGGCATTCAGCAAAGAGCGGAAAGTGGAGAGTGGTGGGGGGCATGGAGGAGGTGGTGGAGGGGAAGGAAAGGGAAAGCTGCCCAAGGTTATTGAAGATCCGAGTGAGAAAGGCGGTGGGGAGAAGGCGAAGGACTTGAAGCACAAGTGGAGGTTCCCAAGCATGTTGATGCGAGTCGGGAGCACCAAAGTGTGATTCTCAACCTTTGTCTGAGGTGAGATTTCTCCGACGTTTGTAGTCGTAGGTTTTTCCTTTTGGGTTAATTTTTTCCTTGTTGCATTCTGACACTGCTGATGGTTCTGACGTTTCAGAAGGCGTCAAACCTTGATGCAAGACTTCATAGAATGGAAGACCAAGGTAGCATCAAGCTCTCTGGGTAGACACCTTCATGGGTTTAACATTCAGAGGCGAGGGTAATAATGATGGAACACGCTTGTGGCTTTCTGATATGCTTGAACTTGCGTTGCTAACTTTTGGTTTGGTAGGTAGAGTTGTAGGATAGACTAGCTGGAACATTTGGTTAGATGATCTTGCTAGATTGCTTGTAAGACTTCCCTTTCGCATTAGCAGTGTAGATTGTATCGGGTATTCCACTTCGCATCGCTGTGATCGCGGTTTCGTGACTGACGACTGCACTGCACCTCACTGACTGCGCATGGCGGCGATTCTGGTGGCACCATTTTGGCTCTGCGACTGGAGTGCGCTTTCGCGAAGGATCGCAGAACCCATCAAGTTTGGTTTGTTTCAAACCATCCCTGGGCCTTGAGTCGCAACGCGTCGTCAATCCAAAATTTCAGCTCGCAAGCCTTCGTGCAGGCCCCGTACGAAGTTTCGCCATCGCCCCTTGGCGAAGGTCCAATGTGCGCCACACTCGCATATAAGAGGGGCGATTTCTTAGGCCACACCAGTCAGTTCTAGATTTCAGCATCCTTGTCCGTCCTTCAATCAGACCTAACAATACGTACGTCGTATAATCAGTTGGAAAAGGCTAGACTTATAGAGTTAATCGAGCCGACACTTCTGTCTCATTATTCGCGGATTAGACGCTTGAATTGCTATGATGGCAAGTAGACGCCTTCCAGTAATCCTCCTCGCGGCAATTGCTCTCTGCTCGCTCCTGTCGCCCGCTGCGTGCTCCGCCAACCCGTCCACCGCCTTCTGTCAATCCCTCGTCGCCAAGCCGCGAGCGACGTGCAGCGCGATCTCCGCAGTCGCCGGCTTCGACCTGATGGGCCTGCAGGTAAACTGTAAACTGCTGCAACTTGGTCACGTTGCTACAGGCTGTAGCAGCTCCGGTTCAACTTCAACTCTAGAAATGGACGACGGCTCTACGGCGACAAACCTCGTCGCTCAAATGCCCCCGATTCCCTCCCACCCCCTTCTTTCTACCCCCGCTCCCCCCGCCTCCCCCTCTGGCCACCTGCGTGCTGCAGGGGCGGTGGTACGGAGTGGCATCGTCAGCGCAGCAGCAGTTCTCGACAGAGCTCGGAACGTCTTGTATCGCGTACGACTTCAACCCTGTTTCGCAGCCTGGCAGCAGCAGCCAGCGCTTGCGGTAAGCTGACTAGTGATGCAGCGAGCTCTATCAGTAAGCTCATTGGTGAATCGCAGTGCATGCTCACGTCACGTCGTCAATGGCTGCTTCAAGAAACTAAGGCGCCATTCGCTTGCCATTCATGAACCCCCCTCCCCCACTCCCCGCAGTCTCACGTCCCGTGGCCTCCAAGCAGCGAGCCCCATCCAGTCCGCCCAGGTCGCCACCATCGCCGCCACGTGTGCCTCCATCGCCCGCCTCCTCGCCTCGCTCTGCTCCGCTGCAGCCGCTCCCAACCTCCCCTCTGGCACCTCCCTCTTTGACCTCTTGCGGCGGGCACAAGCGGCTTTTGGCAGCAGCAGCAGCAGCAGCAGCAGCAGCAGCACCACCACCACCACCACCACCACCACCAGCATCAGTAGCAGCAGCAGTAGCAGCAGCGGGCCTCTACTACCTCAGAAGCTGGCTGGCGTGACGTCATCACGCCTCTCCACCATGTCAGCCTCGTTAAACAGAATCTCGTTACAAGCAGCTGCGATACAATCTACTCTGGAGCGCATTCTAGCAGTCTTAGGCCAGGCAAACGGAGAGGCTAGTCTTCCGAACGCGCGTGAGCTGAGGTCTCAGCTGGTAGACCTAACCACTTCCCTGCAGAACGCGGCTGGGGGCATTCAGGGGGAGCGGAAGCAGCTGTGGACGGCTGCCAGAGCGCTGTGGACGTCCCTGGCTGCCAGTGTCCCAGGCGCCAGAAGCCATGGCGCGGTCAACACGGTGAGTGGCATGGCAAGAGGAAATTGGTGGTGTGGTGCTGTGTGCACCTGCGTTTCCTCCTCTTTCTAGCTGCTCTCTAGCCACCTACGCCTGCTGCCATGGTCCATGACCATTGTTCGACGTGCTGACTTCCCTTGTGGCCCTTGTGTGCCTCGCTGCATGCGTCCCGTTGATACCCAGACCAGTCCAGCGCAAGCTGGCTAAGTTCACTACGCACCACGCCAAGTGAAAGTCTCATTCCTGATACACCGCCCTTCCACCGCCCTTCCCCCCACAATTATACACCAATCAGATGATCCGAGCCGGCATGGCAATGGAGCGGCATGCATCCCCCGTGGGCCCCGTGGCGTCCCTGGCATCGCGCATCGCCACTCTCGCGCGCCTCTCCGCTGCTCCCATCAGCGCCCTTGACAGAGAGGCCTTGGAGGTTCCCAGGAGGACCAGCAGCACTGGCGATATCTTGAACACTGATGCTAAGGTATTGGAGGGGCTGTACGGACTGTTTTCGTGGCATGCACTCTAATTTCCTAGGTGCACCACTTATCTTATTCAACAGGTCGGAACCCTCGAGCCTTCCTTTCCATCTGTTGCAACTAACATTGGTGTTACCCGTTTTTGTTGCAGGGTGGGGTATTCTACGTAGCCTATCGCTCTCACCCTAGTGTGGAGTACTCCGTGGTATATGCGGACAGCAGCACTTCCCAAGGCAACACTGACGTAGTTGTGTTACACACATGCCAAAGTCACTGCAAGTCTATTGCTAGTGGCTCATGTGGCCAGTCTAGATACATTGTGCTGTCACGACAGCCAAGCATAGACACTCACATTCTAGACAACGTTTCGGAGGGGCTAAAGGACAGAGGGATCCATTTGGAAGGGGTAAATTTGCTGTTACCCACAAACCAGAACCCAAGAGGATGTTCAGATTCTTGGGGCCTAAGGCAAGGGCTGGGTGACGTGTCATTCACCTCCAACAAGGTGTAGATTTGAATTTTGCGACGCGATGTGAAGCGCTCACCTCGAGTGGAATCAATAGTAAATTCAGTAGCTTTCTATCGTCATGTGCTGTTATTGCAATCATCGCGCGACAATACCGATGTACCCGTTTTTGTCATATCGAGTGTGGAAATGGTTGCACACTAGATCAATGCACAAGTATAATTTCCTAACCTGATCTTAGACCTCTTCTCGGGAACGCACCACCGGGATGTCCGCCGCAGGAGACGCTGCAGCGGCCTCGGTAGAATAGACCCCTGCGTTATCAGGCCTGCCGGATAAATCAGCTTACATCTGATTCTGGCTGATCCTTGCGATCGCGTCACGTCAGCATGGCTCTGACGTCACTATGGCGGATTCTGTTCCATGCTGTCCTGATCGTGAGCATGGTGACGTCAGCATGGGCCATGTATTGCGGGGAAGAAGATTGCTACGACCTTCTTGGGTATAGTCACACCTTATCGGGTCCCGTCACACTCCGTGTCGTCCAATTTTCCATGGCGTGCAGTCCGGTCCGCCACGTGCGATCGTCCACGTGTCATTCACATCCACCTTCATTCACTCTACCGTGTCCGGATTACTGGATCAGATCCGTGCTGCCATCAGCAATCTATTGCTGCCGTCAGCAGTCCACGTCGTCTTTTCTACCGGGTGCAGCCCGTCGATCTCGCTCGCTATTCTCACGCCATCGCATCCGTCCTTGGTCCCATGACTACAATCGTCGACTTTAATCTGTTTGATGCTATCTCCGTAGCTGCTGCTCGTTTCAACACCCTCTATTCGCAGTCTCCCAGCGGCGTCGAGCCCACGTAGCAGTTACGCCCGCTCGTCCCTAGCGGCATTCGCCGCGATCAGGCCCTGCCCACGGCGATTGCCGTGCTCAGGCCCTGCCTGTCGCATTCCCCCTCCCCACGCGCCCCTCCCCTCCATTCGCTTTCCTGCTGTGCCGTGTGGCTTCGACAGGGTGAAGCAGGCAGCCACCCAGCAGGAGATTAAGAAGGCCTACTACAAGCTCTCCCTCAAATAGTGAGCCTTTAATTCTTTGCTTTCTCTCAAATGTTGTTGCAAAGAATCTGTTTTTATTGTGCATGTGTATAGTGGACAGTAATTTGCGTTGACTTCAGGGTGCCTCTTTTCATCTCACCCCTCATAGCCCCGCATAGCCCCTCATCACCCCTCACCACTCCTCACCACCCCTCACCACCCCTCACCACCCCACCACTCCATGCCTCCACGGCTATCCCTACTGTCTGCCATCCCGAGCAGTCACCCGGACAAGAACCCAGAGCCTGACGCTCAAGCCATGTTCTCCAAGATTGCGAATGCTTATGAGGTGCGCTGCCTACCGTGCTACCTTTCAGATCCTGACATGGCTAATCACACCCTGACACCACAATTTTAGGCCCTCGCCCCACGATTTTACACCCTGACACCACAACAGACTGAACCACGAACCTGAAAGACATCGAACCAGCGCCAGCAGAGTCTACCTCTCCTCCTCCTCCCATGCCTTCTCTCCTCCCTTCACCCCTCCGTGCAGATCCTGTACGACGAGGAGAAGAGAGAGCAGTATGACTATGCCATCGCGCATCCAGAGCAGGTGAGTCGCATGGGGCGGCACGGCCTTTCATGCGATGGCATGTGATTCGATGGGTTGGGATGAGATGGGATGGAATGGCAGTACCCCGTTGTCTAGCATGCACATCAGCATTCCTCTTGTTATCCCGATTCCTATTTCTTGTCTCTGTGTTGCTTTCTTCTATTCGTAAGCTTTGGCCATACAGTTCTTCTACAATGCTGGCTCGTTCTGCAACCAATCCCAATTCGTACCTCGTTCCTCTGTGTTGCTATCCTCCCCCTCCTCACCTTTTCCGTGCAGTTCTTCTACAATACTGCTCGCTACTACCAGACGTACTATGCACCCAAGACGGTGAGACTTCTGTTGCATGCAAACCCAAGAGAGGCACTGTTTTTCACGCTGCTTTTCCCGTGTTTTCCTGTGCGTGTGAATCCCCATGCATGTACATCTGTGTGGTGTCAATTAATCTTAGGCTTGACATTGTCATCTTTTGCTGTCTCTGTGATTGCCTGGTTGCTGGCAGGACATTCGGGTCATTCTGCTTGCAGCGCTGCTGCTGCTCTCCTCCTTCCAGTACCTCAACGACCACATTCGCTACAATCAGGTAGGCTTTAATGAGTGCATTCAATACCATCAGGTGGGCTCCAGTGTTTGCATCTAATACAATCCTGCGGGTCGTAAAGCATGCAGGTAGACCGAAGTAATTGGATGGCAGCAGATTCTTTGTTTTCCCCACATTTTTTTTATGGATTGCATGTTACTTTGCCTGATCCCCTCCATACCCGTGTAGGCCATAGAGCACGCCAAGCAGACCCCAGCATACCGCAATCGCCTCAAGCAGCTGGAGTTGGAACGAGCTGCAGCTGCAGCTGCTGCTGCGAGCACTGCTGTTGGGGGCCGGGGGAAGCGAGGAGGCGGCCGGCGAGGAGGCAGGTGGGCAGTGGGCGCTGTTTGTTGTGTCTTTGGAATGGATGCTGCATGCAGTGTACTCGGGCTTCTTGTTTTGATTGTTAATTTTCCACATAACAGCCTGAGTACCCACCACATGTGTGCTGCCAATTCCTGTGGGTGCTACCAGAGCAGCTGACGCCCAACAAGCTGCAGCGGCTGCTGCTGCAGCACCAGAAGATGGAGTGGCTGAGCTCGAGCTTCAGGTACAGCCCGCGCATTCACTTCAAGCAATGTGCTTTTGGACCACCCATTGCTGCCATTATTTATCATGTATGTGTAATTGATGCCATCCGTGGCAGGTGCATGGAGCTGACAAGCCTTGCCTGTGGCGGCTCTTTGGCGTTCAAGTCGTCATCTTCCCCTACGTAGCTGCTAAGGTATGTCATCTCCAGTAAAGCCCTGTAGACTGCATTGCCTTTGTGAGCCGTGCTCAATCTGGTCCTTGCGCCTTTCTGAGAGGGAAATTCCTTCCATTGCATTCCGTGTGCAGTTGGTATGGTGGCAGGTGCAGTGGCTCCACAGCTACACCATTCGCTGCATGCCCCTGGCTTGGAATGATGCATGCTACCTTACGCGCACCACCCTGCGTATTCCTGCTGCGCACTGGAGCTCCATGGGTAAGGACGTGCTGGAAGCATGGAGAGGATGTCCCCTGCTTGTTGACTTGACATCCCTTGTTGGTTGCCTTTTCGTTGCATGTCTTGGTTTCCTGGACAACGTGTTTTACATCCTCCTCAGTGATGTTTTACCCTGCTTCCCATCTCTTCACAGGAGAGCCTGCCCAGGACAGGCTTGTGGAGCGGCAGCTGTGGATAAAGCAGAACTTGAACGAGTATAGGGAAGAGATGCTCAAGTCTGTAAGGAGGCGACGCTGAGGATGGGCATTCTGTAGCACACGAGTATGCTAACAGATTGCTTGCCTATGCTGCAACATTGGTTATTCAAAGAGGCTTGATGCTGATAATTGAAAAAGCTGTGATGCTCATATGAGCATGGTGTATTCTTATGCATTTGTAGGTATGACACACAAGCTAATCAAATCAGCGGAGTATGTAGCCTGTACAAATGAGGAATGCTGTGGTAGGCACCTCCACTAAGAAGGCCCCATCAGTCTCTGTCGTTTAGCAGAGCCTTGCATACTGCAGGGAGGGAACAAAGAATTAAACATCAAGTGGTGGGGCGTGTTTAAAAGCCAACTTTAGGAAAGAAGCATGGCGAAGCAGCCATGCACCGAGCAATTAGCAGAACACAATAACATGGCCATACCTGCTCATTTCACTCGAAAATTTTATCATGCTAGCCTCCCTTTTGCTTGCCTCCGACTGACTAACACTCTGCAAGAACAGCACGAGGGAAACATCAGACAAACAGGTTCAGAAACCTCAAAACCTCCACAGGACATGACAAGACAGTGCATACCCTTTTATGAAGAGAGCTGGTGACACGTCCTGACGATGACCGCGGAACTTGTGAATTCCTGTCAGGGCTGCTAGCACCTCCATCTCTCCTGGCTCTGCCAGGTGATTCAGCAGCAGGCCTCTCGAAAGTCCCATTGATACTCCCTGTCCCTGCAAGGCATGAACAACAGGGTGTGGAATTACTGCCTGAATCGCCCTGAAAATCAGGGCAGGCCACACGGGTAAGAGCTCTTACAGGTACTGATGAGATGTAGAGCCTTTTCAGATGCAAGCTCCTGGGCAACATGGATGGTTGTTCCTTGAGCTTCAGCGATTGCTTCACCGTCCACCAACACCGTTGCAAGAAATTCTGGAGCTTCTCGCTCTCCGATTGCAACATGCTGGTATTCAACCTGCATGCAAGGGAAAACGAGAGTTAGCAAGAACATGGAGACAACGAAGATTACTGCATTCCAGCCAGGTAAACACAAATAATTCGCACAATTGCTCCTGAGTTGGCTCCTGCTGCATCAAGGGTGGCACTGAAGTTGCTGATGGGAGCTTGTCTCGTCCGGTTAACATAGCTGGTCATCCGTTTTAACGAAGGCGGCAAGGCCTTCTTGAAGGGAGGGCCCCCCAGTGGTAGAGCTTGAGACTGTACACCTGCAAAAGTTGAATTGCGAACTTGTGAGAACATGCATGCATGCTGCGATAGCAACAAAGCAGGGCAAGCACTTACTGGATTGGAGAGCACTAAACCCAGGAGGACCAAACCCAGGAGGGCTGATAGCAGGGCTTTCATCTCGTACGGTGATGCCTTCACTAGAAACAGCCTTCACGAGAATTGATGGTTCAATTAAAGGCTTGACCGCCCACATCAAGGATGGTCTAGGAGATGGTGCAGTGGCGGAAAAAGGTGCAGCAGCTTGCAAAGCTACAATAGAAGGACGAATGGCCAAGTCACAAAGGGGAGGGACTTGAGGTGCCAATGACTGCGGCAGAAGAGCCGGGGAACTTGGTAATCCGGGTAAGTTGAAGCCTGGAGGAAGTGAGCTGCCGTCAGGCGCGAGTGTGGGATCCATCCCATGCTGCAATATAAGCAGCCTTCGACGCTGCTCCAATTCTGAATCCGTTGATGTGGTTTCATGCTTCGACCCGGACTCAGCCTCAGTATGTGGTCGCGAATCTGAATCCTCTCTGTCTGAGAGCTCCCCTTCCTCCACCTCCTCCTCAGTTCCAGGTTGAGCTGGAACCTCACCAGTTTTATCAACTCCAGTACTACCTGGAGAGACTTCGGACAGTTGATTTAGCAACTCGGATGGTGCTCCTGTGGGAATATCTGGTTGCCACGCAGGCAAGTCTTCAGAATCATCTTCAGGCCCTGGTGGCTGAAAGAAAGACGAGAGGCGAACGCCAGAATCAGAGACTCCGCCAAGCTAGAGCTACATCCGGGACAAAGCACATGCAAGCAAAACCACATAAGACCACTGAGGGCTGCATACCTGATCCATTGCCAATGGAAATGCTGGATTCCTTGGTTGGTCCATCGTTGCTTGCACCCTCTCTAGATGTGGACCCCCAAAACGTGGGGCGCCTCTGTCAGGTACATCCAAATCTGCAACTTGAGCTAATGGCTTCTCCCCAGGATACTGGAAAATCCATTGCTGCTGCTCCTTCGACTCGATAACATCCTGCAACATGGACACGCGTGTCAGGACTGGCATACAGCTGCGGAACTAAATAGAGGGAATGAAAGATTGTGCATACATCGTCCACTGGAACGCCTTTCACAAAAATTGCCGTATCTGGAATTGGTGGAAGCTGATGTAACTCTGCATCATGGAATGTGCTTGCCAGCTCTTGGCACAGAAACTCATCAATTGCCCTGCACGATCGTGGTTCAGGTGTTAGGTTGAGAAGAATTGCTTGCCTGCAGAGCAGGAAGGATGTGAAGCACTTTTTCTAAAAAGCAAAGGAGAAAAAAACCTATGCTGACAGATGATATGCTAAGACTATGAGAAGGGTCGAGTAAGTCTACAATGAAGGATTTCGTAAGCTTGCCTGTAGAAGTCCGTTCTGACATGACAAATCACGTTTCTTGCGTGCACCAAGACTGGAAGAGGTAGACCAATCTGCAATTAAAGTCACAACGTGAGGACAATACTTTGAATTGACTCCCATGGCTAAGTGAAATATTTAGGTGAGGATTCACGTACCTCTGCCAAAGGTGCAGCATATGGAGCAAAAGGTTGGACAAGGTGGACACGTGGCTGATCCCTTTCCTCCCATACATTGATTCTGTCATCGATGATGACAGCCATCCTTGGATCAGAATCATTCCTGTGAAACACCTTCTGAAGTGATTTCAACGTGCCTGCAATCAGAGTCAACCAAATCAACAGAATGTTGGAAAATATATCACAGCTAAAAGTCAGAACAAAATAGATGCTACTGGAAGAGATGAAAAGAGATGGCCCACAGGACTCTACCAGCTTTGACTGAAATGATTCGGGCTGACAGCTCCCTAGGCTGGATAAGCTTTCCTTCCGGATCCAGCAGGCGCCACATCTCCAAAGCGTACTGCTTCTCTGCCATTGTGCACACGAAAGCCTCAAACCGCTTTCGTCCCTTGGTTGAAAAATAGCTGCGCAGGTCATCCCAGGAAGGCCGCATTCTGACAAGGACACTAGTGTCCCGGTTCTGCAAGAAGGCACCACCATATCAGATCAAGCTTCAGCTCACAGGGTCCAGTAAAATCGCAAGCCTCACGTGTGGTAGAAAAATAACCACTTTACCTCAGGAAAGATTCTGGTTAGAACTATGTTTTGGTGCGGGAGCCTGAGGACAGGTCTAGAAGGAGGAAGCGATTGTCCGTCAACGGGCGTCACAGCTTCAGGCTCAGCCACGTAGCACTTTCCGTCGAGCATGACAGCGTTGGTGTCATAGTATTGGAGGAGGATCTGCCTGTCCTCCTCATAGCGACCCAGCTCAGCTGCCAACAGCTTAGCCAGTTGTGGGTCACTGTTAGCCGCTAGGCGTTGTCTCAGCACGCCAATCTTGTCTTCAAATGACTTCATGGTATTGGCGACGAAGAGGGTCTCATCGAGATCGAAGACCACAGCAAGGCAGCGCAGGTTCAGCATCTTCAAGCAGGCTGAGAACTGGCCTTCCTTCACGAGGAATCCCCAGAAATACGGTCTGTGGTTTTTGCGATGCTCCTGACGATTGCCCAACATAGCGACCAAATGCACCTCGAATCCGCCTCCGATCGACACGATAGCAGTCTGCGAGGTAAAAAGTACAGGCCAGTGGTTAATGACAGCCCTTTATGTCACTAACCGAGTTCTGAATATATTATGTACCGAAAGCGTTACCTTGGAATCTGTTACACATGAGCTGTGGATTAGATCCAGCTCATGCCAACTCGCTTCGCAACCTTCTTCAGGAGCTAACTTGAACCACACGCCTTCATCAGATATACTATGCAGCACTACGTGTGGCTGTAGTCTTTCGGTGGGCTCCGAAAACCCTCGAAACTCCATCTGCTGACCAAAGAGCTCTCCTAAAGCTTTGCCTTTACGTGCTGGTGTTAGTGACACATTGGCAAGCAGCCTCCCTGCGCTCACAAGTCTCGACTTCATTATTTGCTACGCCGTAAGTTCACTTGCTACGTATTGTGAAGAATAGTATTTGGTGTTAGTTGCCAATCCTTACGGTTTTGCTGGCAGCGCCCAGCTGCAACTATTATGTGTTGAAACTGTCAGGCAACAGCGAGACGTTGAAGTTGTTGATCAACAGACTGTGACCTGAAACGGGGTAATGGAGTCAGGGAGTATACTTCTAGCAGAGACAGTGAGGCTGAGAAGATGACGAGATTCCTCCCAACGGTGAAGCACGGTAGCTATTGGCTGTGGGGGTTACCAAGGTAATATGCGCTATCCTGCCAAGAGGTTTTATACCATGCTGGCCTTGTGGCAGCGGATACACTTTACTTTTGGCTTACCTGAAGAACACGAGCTATGCTCTCATGCAAATTTCTACAAACCTTTTTAAGATGTGATTTAATAGCACCTTGCTAGCCATTCATTTAAAACGAAAGCAGATATTCAAATTTATGTCTGGGAGTTAGAGGGGAAAGGAAACACATTAAAGCCTGGCCCCCATTGCATTTGTGAGCACGTTACCCTTTGCTGCTGCGGAGAAAGGGGAGATATGCGCTCTAATATTCCGAATGAAATAAATCATGCTGCCGAAGGCGGATTGTGTTTATGCTTGAAGTAATCCATTTACGCCAACACATGGAAAAACATATTGTGTTATATATGTGGGCTTCGTTCAGTCGTAGCATGAAGATTCCCACATCCAGTAGCGAAGCTCCATTCACTGAGGTTGCTCCCAGTGACTACTAGACAGGACATCAGTGTCTCCAGCTTCCACACATTGACTCCTCCCCATCAGCGCTGTTGTTGACGTCCGCCATGACCAGCACACTAACATCGGTTTTGACGTTGATGTGCTTCAGAGCTTGCTTGTTTCAGAGGACCCACTTGCCTTCGCTTTCGTGTACGAACGACAGCAGACGTCACGTCATTTTCAACCATACGGGAAAACCTGATGGTGATATCAACGTCTTGTGACGTATGCTTCTGGTTTGGGGGTGAAGTATGCGAAGTAGCATCGTCGCACTTCACCTGGAGTCCGTTGTTTTCCATAAGTGTTCTTGCAAGAGATATATTTAACGTCCCACAATGAACATCCAACTCCACAACCTTTCAGCAGCTGCCGGAATTAACTCTTTCACTTCAGTACCAGGTCTTATTAGAGCTGCGAGTGAGAGACACGCAGTCCTCTCGTTTCGCCGTTCGGAATTCACTTCTGCCGCGTCCCGCGTTCGCCTCGCGACTGTCGCTCAACCTTTTCACTTTGGTTCCACCCGCGGCCTTCTCTGGTGATACATCTCTCCTTGCATTCTGCACATTGTTCCTTACCCTTTTAGCGGGGAACTCCCGCTCCATCCTAACCCATTCCCCTTCTTGTGCTCTTGTTGTCCAAACCTGATCGTCTGCAGCCGTAGCAGGATGAAGCTGATGAAGGGCAAGCATGTGGTCATCACTGGCGGCTCGACTGGCATTGGCTTCGCCTGTGCCAAACGGTTTCTGAGAGAGGTGATATTTGATAGAGAAGTCTAGATTGCACCTTCCTGATCTGGCTTCTGGCGGCACAGTGAACTTAACCTAACGTTTTTTTCCTGGATTCGCCAGGGAGCCTCGGTTACCCTGATGGCTCGCAATGCAGCCAAGCTGGAAGATGCAGCGCGAGAGCTTCAACAATATACAAGGGAGTCTGCTCATAACGGCACTAACGGCTTCTTTCCTGCTCCTAGAATTTTCACTCAGGTGAGGCTTTGCGCTCTAGGTGGCTCCTTCCATGCAATGCTGAGCAACACATCGCATGGATTTTCGCTGATAGCCACGTTGGAAGTTCACTCTATTAATTTCGACTTCTTTCTGCGACAGGCAGTGGATGTTTCTGACGCCAAGGCGATGCAGGCCGCCATAGAAGCAGCAGCATCTGCGTGCCCCATAGATGTGCTGCTGTGCAACGCTGGAGTGGTGCGCACAGGCCATGTGGAGGACATCTCCCCCCAGCAGGCTCAGGAGCAGGTCAACACAAACCTGCTGGGAAGCATCTACCCTGTGCAGGCTGCGGTGCCTCTTTTGAAGGAAAGGATTGCACAAGGAGCAGAGCCAGGTGCCATCGTCTTCATGTGCTCCCTCTCAGCTTTGGTGGGTACATTGTGCTGCTGTTCCTGAAAAAATGAGTTCCCTCGCAGCATCATTCACTTATGTTTTCTCCTTGTTGCATTGCAGAGCTTCTGGTATGGTGCGGCAGTTTACACTGCCACCAAGTACGGAGTTCGTGGCTTTGCAGAGGGTCTTCGTCTTGAGCTGCTCCCGTACAACATATCAGTCTCCATTGTCTGTCCAGGGTTCACTGACACTCATCTGCTTAATGATGGTAAACACTGTAAAATTCATTCCACATTATCACTATTCACCAACACAAATCTGAGTGACTCTATTGTTCATTCTGTGTTTCCAGCTGAAGCATCTGGTCAGTACCTCACTAAGTTGATGGAGGTGGCATCGATGTATGACCGCAACAAGATTGAGAACCCAGACACTGTGGCAGAGCACACACTGGCAGCTGTACGATCGGGAGAATTCCTGGTCACGACATCATCTGGCTTTCTTCCTTTCTCTCTTGCTTTGCTCTCCCGAGGGGTCTTCCCGTCCAAGTCAGTTCTGACTTGGCTTGCAGAGAGTCTTGCAAGCCCCTTCGTCAGGCTTTCGTCACTTCCGGTGGGAGCTGGGATTGCGCATGGGCTAAGGTCAATTCATAAGCATCAGCGTACCAAATTAGAGTAGTTATAGGGTTGTGATATTGAAAGTAAATGGTAAAAAAGTCGTCTACATTATTCGGACTTTCATTCCTTACAGTTGCGGTATCTGCCTCGAGTGTAGCCTCTGATATTTGTATCGCGGTTGGCAGCAACAGCCTGGACGAAACTCTGGCGACGTCGCAAGGTCGTCCTGCCGGAGATTTGACCAATCAGAACCGCTGAAACGGACACCCTCGAAGTATCAAGACCTACACGCTACCGCTCCCCATTCCAGCGGCTACTGCTGTGTTCCAGGAGATTCTTACCGAGATATGCCCCTGATGATGAGGCAGACTAGAAATTAGTGTTGTGCGGACTCATTCGTATTAGCCTTCAGGAACACCCTGCACTTTGCCTGAAGGCGAAAACGACCATCAGGCTCGACCTGCTTCTCGCCTAGCTTTGGAATCTTTAGTGGCCGTCGGAGTCCAGCGGTAGAGCATTTGTCGGCATAGGAGATTCTCGCCTGCCTTGACGTGGAAAGATGAAGGTCAAGAAGAAAAAGGGATCGGATCCTGTAAGCGCCGTCCCGTTACTGTCCCTTGTCCTGCCGGCCTCGTTGCTATAAAATGTTCCTGGAGGATCTTAGCCCCGAAATTCCTCCGGTTTTATATTCACATCGATCAGCGTGCCAGGGGTATGGCTCTGTTCGACCTACTTTTCACGGCATGGATCTAACGCGGTCTCTTGATGTCGCGTCTGACGTGTATCGCTTGCAGCCTTTGAGGGTGAAGGAAGTCATCGATTCCATTCTCTCCGTTCCGTTGCAAGACATAACGAAGCCACTGTCGGAGTTCAAGTGGAGTTATGACAAGGTAGCCTTCTCGCTCTCTTTTTTTGGGATTCTGATTCTGACGGTTTTATGATCACGAGGAGCTTGGAGACGCCGAGTTTCCATTGGTTCACGTTAACGGCTCGTACTTAAGATTCGTCGGGGCTTGGGTTTTTATCCTGTGGATACCCCGCGATTCCCGCACCTTGTCCACCTCCTGACATGCTTCGCTCGGTCTCCTTGCGCGGCTTTTTTTTTATCGTGATTGCTCGCTCGTTCCACACCAATTCGTTCGACGTTTCGCTTTCCTCGTTCTCCTGATGCGTAAATGGGGGATACCTTCTGCGTATATCTGGAATATCTTCCACGTCTGTCTGACAGGGCGACGTGCTGCACTGGGTAGACCTCCTGAACCACCTCGACGCCTTCCTCGAGACTGCCGTCAAGCCCCGCAAGGATCTGCAGTTGGAGGGTCGGTTCGCGGGGGTGGACCCGGCGTTCCCCAGGGATGCGGTGCTGCAGGTGCTGCGGGTGTCGCGCGTCATCCTCGAGAACAGCGTCAACAAGCACCTCTACGCCTCCGTCGAGGTATGGCTCGTATTTTGGTGGAAATGTTAGAGAATCCGCTGCATCCAAGTTCTGTGAGAGTTTCGAGTTCTTCTCACGAACAGCAGCGTCAAGGAGCACCCCTATGGTTTTGCCGAGGTATTCGTCGCATTCATTCCGTCGTTGTAACTCTTGAATCCTCTCCTCTTCTCCCCCCCCCTCCCCCGCAGAATGTGTGCACTCTACTCGCGAGCTCGGACCTGGACGCGCTGTCAGCCAGCCTTGAGCTCCTCTCGGACTACGGCAAGAAGCCTTCTCAACCATGTTTCCTCTTCTCCCCCCCCTCTCCCCTCCTTCCCCCCCCCCCACACAGCATGTGTGCACGCTTCTGGCCTCCACGGACCTGGACGTGCTTTCAGCCAGCCTGGAGCTGCTTTCAGTGTATGGCAAGAAGCCCTTCCAGCCGGGCCGCAGCACACGCTGGCACGCGGACCCGGCCATCACGGCGCGCCTCTTCGCGCTCGCACAGGCGTGGGGCGGCAAGGAGGAGGGGCTGGGCATGCTGCCCTGCGCGCTGCAGGGGGGACTGGACGAGTCTGCGCTGGCACTCGGAGGCACGCTGCACTTTGAGTTTTACTCCGAGGGGGGGGGTGGTGTGGGGGGGTTGGGGGAAGAAGGGCAGGGACTGGGTGGGAGTGGCGGGGAGGAGGGGGTAGTGGGTGACGAGGGCAAGGCTGGTGGTGCAGCAGTAGCTGCTGGTGCGTCCGTTGGGGCGTCTGCTGCTGTGTCTGCTGCTCCGTCTGCTGCTGCGTCCACTGGCTTGTCCCCTGGGCTGAGAGTAATCCACATCCCAGGGGTGCGAGAACACGGCCAGCAGCAGGGAATATCAGAGCTCGACTTCCTCCAGGACCTAGTAGACCACTACTCCGTGCCCTCCGCCCTCCGCTTCTCCCTCCTCACCCGCCTCCGCTGCGCCTACTCCTTCCCCATCCTCGCCTCGCGCCGCCGCTTCCTCTGCGTGCGCCTGCTGGCGTTCCGAGTCCTCCTCCTCGCCACGCCGGACCCCGACGAGCTCACCTCTCTCTTTGCGAACGAGCCCGAGTTCGTCCCTGAGCTTATCTCCCTGCTTAATGCAGAGACCCTGGTGCCGGAGGATGTGAGGATGTATGCCTTGCTCGCCCTGGCTGCCATGGCGCAGGATCGGCCGCGCCAGTCCACGGTCCTCAGTGCCATCAGCACCGGTGGCCACCGAGCCACCCTGCCGAGCCTGATGCAGAGGACCGTGGCTCAGCTCGGGAAGCCTGGAGGCTGCTCGCCGAAATTTGTTGACGCCCTATTGGTCCTCATTGCTGCTCTTGTATCCTCTTCTTCTGGATGTACTGCGCTTCGGGAGGCAGGCTTGGTGCCGACCCTGCTGCCTCTGGTTCGGGATACCAGGCCTGAGCACATGAGTCTGGTGACCTGGTCAGTGCAGATCCTAGAGGCCTTCATGGACTTCTCCAACCCTGCAGCGGCGCTTTTCAGGGATCTGGATGGGCTTGACATGTGCGTGGATAGACTCAGGCTCGAGGTGGCTCGAGTGGAGCCCACTCTCATGCCGGCCCAGGGTTCAGGGTCTAGCAAAACCCCTGCTGGTCGGGTTGAGGGGGGTGGTGCGGGGACTGTTTTTGGGGCTGGGGAGGGTAGCAGTGGGTCGGCTGCTGCAGGAGCCACTCGCATGGAGGAGGATCGCAAGGGCAAGGCTCCTATGGTGGAAGATGAGGGCAGGGGAGGGGGAGCAGGCACAGGGGCTAGTGGTAGTGGTGCTGCAGCGGGGGCATCTCCTGGTGATGCTGCTGCTACTGGCAGTGGTGCTGCTGTGGCGCCGGCAGTGCTGACATACAAGCAGCGCAGTCTAATTAAAGCCCTCCTCCGCGTCATCTCCCTAGTCAGTTTCGCCCCAGGCAGCACAGTCAGGCTGGCGTCGTCTTCTCCCGAGGAGGGGGGCGTGGGGCGGCTACCTGACTGCCTGGCGGCCATATTCAGGCACGCGAGGGAGTTTGGCGGAGGCGTGTTTGCGCTGGCGGCGTCGGTGATGAGTGAGCAGGTGCACCACGAGCCAACGAGCTTTGCCGTGCTGGACGCTGCTGGCTTGCCCAAGACCTTCGTCGATGCTGTGAAAGCTGGTAAGCTCTTTGCTCTGGTAAGCACTCAAGGCTGGTAAGCTGGTCTTGTGTTGGGAAGGTGTTTGCGCTGGTGGCGTCGGTGATGAGCGAGCAGGTGCACCACGAGCCCACCAGCTTCGCTGTGCTGGACGCCGTTGGCTTGCCCAAGACGTTTGTGGATGCTGTCAAGGCTGGCAAGCAGTCAATGCTGGTGAGCAGTGAAGGTTAGTAGGCAGTCAAAGCTGGTATGCTGTTTGCGCGGGCGGGGTTGGTGTTGAGCGAGCAATTGCACCACGAGCCTACAAGCTTTGCCGTGCTGCACGCTGCTGGACTGCCCAAGACGTCTGTGGGCGCTGCCCATCCCTCGTGTCTCACCACCCGCTCCCCTTCCCCACTCCCGTTTCTCCCTTTCCACCCCCTGCAGGCGTGCTGCCCTCCTCCGAAGCCATCTGCGCCATCCCCAACGCGCTGCTCGCCTTCTGCCTCAGCTCGCGCGGCCTCCAGCTGGTCACCGACTCCCACGTGCTCGCCTGCCTGCCCGCGCTCTTCACCTCGCGCCAGTACTCCCGCGCCCTCGCGGGGGACACTGCCTCTGTGCTCGGCTCGGGGCTGGACGAGCTCATGCGACACCAGGTCAGTCTACGGCAGCCGCTCATGGCGGCGATAGTTGGGGCGCTGAGGGAGGTTGGTAGGATGGGGGGGTTGGAGGAGAGGAAGGGGAGGAGAGGTGGGGGAGGGGGAGGGGAGGGAGGGGACTCGTGGGAAGGGGAGATGCAGGGTGGGGGGGTGTGTGGAGGGGAGGAGGGGGTGAGGGCGAAGGAGGATGATGCGGATAGCGGGAGGGCGGTGGGGAGTGGAGGGGGAGGGGAGGAGGGGGCGGCAGGCGCAGGTCAAGGGACAGGGATAGGTGTATCAGGGGAAGGTGGGAGAGAAGGCGGGGATGGTGATGCGCCTGTGCCTATGGAGACGGATGGGGGGAACCAGGGGGCAGAAGCAGCAACAGCAGTAGCAGGAAGGCAGACTGTAGGGCAGATAGATGGGCAGGGAGAGGGGCAGGGAGATGGTCTGCAGAATACCGTTTCAGGTCAAGCGGGGGAGGCAGGAACCAGTTCTGGAGCAGCAGGAGTGGCTGCTGAGGGGACGGAATCGGTGACACCTGGAGCAGAAGCAGTCATGGCTGAGGCTGAACCGCCAGGGGCAGCAGCAGCAGAGGCAGGAGCAGCGGGGACAGAAGCAGCAGGAGCCGAAGCAGCAGGAGCGGGGGCAGCAGGTACTGGTACTGATGCTGCTGCTGCCACTGCCACTGCCACTGCCACTGCCACTGCCACTGCCACTGGCACACCCACCACGCACAGCAGCAAGGAGAGCCTGACGCCAGCGGAGTTGGAGTTGTTCCTCCCGGACTGCATCAGCAGCATGGCTCGCCTGCTGGAGGCCGTGCTCTCCAACGAGACCAGCAGCCGCACCTTCCTCGACCTGCGTGGCCTCGACGCCCTCCTCGCCCTCTACACGCTGCCGCGCCTGCCACTGCTCTTCGGCACCTCCCCTGCCGCCCAGGGCATTTCCATGGCCATGCGTGCCTTTGGGCCGAACCACGCATCGGCTGTATCTCGTGGGGTGGCGTCGGCGCTCAGGAAGCACGTCAAGTGTGCAGTTGCGTTTGTCACTACCTCTCTCTCCTCCTTCTCCTCCTCCACTGCACCTGCTGCGACAGATGATGTTGCAGGCGCTGCTGCTGCCGCCCCTGCTTCTGCCCCTGCAGCTGCAGCAGCAGCAGGGCCCTCAGGTGCAGGTTCGTCCGCAGTAACCGTCGGGCGGCGGCAGCTGTCCGATCTGGACGTGGAGTCACGCGAGTCGCTCCTCCGCGCACTGGGAGTAGCGGAGAGTCTGCTCTCCCTCTCTGCAGTCTTAGTGCGCGCCACTGCGCTGTCTGTCCCTGACCTGGCATCGTCCAGTGGAGAGGTGTTCCGAGACGTGGCTGTGCTCCATAGGGAAGCCCTCTGGCAGCTCGCGGTTCTAGAGCACAAGGGACTGCCGCCCCCTGCTGCTGCTGGTGGTGATGCGGCTGCTGCTGGTGGTGGTGATGCTGCTGCAACTGCGGCTGCGGCTGGTGCTGCTGCAGAGGTTGTAGGGGGAGGAGCGGGAGGAGGAGCAGGGGGAGCAGGTGAGGGTGGGACGGCTGTGGGGGGATCAGGGGAAAGGGGAGGTGCAGGACAAGACGCAGCTCCCACAGGAGCAGCTGCACCAGCAGCGACAGCCTCACCTGCAGCAGGTGCAGGTGCAGCAGGCGCAGAAGGGGCAAGCATAGCACCATCGGCAGGACCTTCAGGGGCAAGCGAAACTGGCACAGGAGCAGCAGCAGCAGGAGGATCTGCAGCACAGGAGCTGTCAAGTGAGGCAGCGGACGATCTCGATCTGCTGATGATGGAGGGCGGCGCCAGGCCCATGCGCAACGGCCCCAGCGCCATCTGGCGCCCCGGCCCCGGAGAAATAGGGTTTCTGCACCGCAACAGCACCAGGCAACTCTCCCGTGCTCCCCGCGTTGTGTCTGACGGCATAGGCCCGGATAACGGCCCAGAGGCAGGGGGCAGCAGTGCCGCTGATGCTGCTGCTGGCGCCCCTGCTGGTGCTTCAGCTGCTGGGGTTGCTGCAGATCCTGCAGTGAGGAAGAAGCCGGATGTTGCGGTGCAAAAGGAGGTGCTGGGTCGGCTGGTGGTGGCCGTGCGGCTGTTTGAGGTCTCAGTAGGGAAGGCTATAGTTCCGTCAAGAAGGAGAGATGACGCAGTGGTGCTCACAGGCCACGCCAAGGTGGCGTCTGCTGCCCTCGCACAGACCTTCCAGGAGAATCTAGGGTTAGGGTTTACCGGGTGTGACCCGGGGCGGAGCAGCAGTTTAGACGCGTGCTCAGCAGAGGAGGTGCTGGATTGTCCCGCGGTGCGGTGCGTGTATCTGGGGAAGGTGGTGGATGACATGTTCGCCCTGCTGGTGGATCCCAGGAGGCACACGTGCAACAGCATGCTGGTGAGGTTCTTCCACGCTCACGGGGCTGTGCGGCAGCTGTTTGAGTCTGTGCGGTGGGTGGTAAGGGCCATGTGGGCTGAGCAGGAGAGGCAGGTGAAGCAGCGGGAGGAGGAGGGGGAGAAGGGGGAGAGGGAGGTGGTTCAGATGGAAACTGATGGGGGGAAGGATGCAGCGACTGCAGCTGGAGGGGCGGCAGCAGGGACAGCAGGTGGGGAGAGCAAGAGCGCAGGTGACAGCTCCAAGGACGGGGGCGACAAGGGCATGGGCGCACAGGAACCGGTTTCCCTCTCACTCCCTTCCTGGCTGCATTCTCCCCTCCAGAGCTATTTCCGTCTGCTGGACTGTCTCACCAACCCGCACCTCCTCCTCGCCCCCTCCTCCACCAGCGTCTTCCTCACCCACCAGCTCTCCCGATCAGTAGAACCCGCCCCAGCTAAGCCTGAGGACTTTCTCAGAGCCATGCAGGAGCAGGTGCTATCTGTCATGCTGGACGTGTGGTCGCACCCCCTGTTCTCCCAGTCCGGTCTGTCGCTGATCTCCCCGGTGGTTACCATGCTCACCCGCGTCCTTCAGGGGTTGAGTGAGACGGCACCACCAGGAGCAAGTTCTGCTGCTGCTGCTGGTGCAGGAGCCGGGGGTGCGGCGGGTGCAGGGGCAGGGGCAGGCGGAGCAGCAGCAGCAGGGGCAGGTGCAGGGGCGGGTGTGGATGGGGCGACCGGCACAGGGAGGCAGGGGGGAGCAGCGGCATCCGCAGCTGCTCTGGCTGCTGCAGTACTGGGAGGCCGCATGCCCCCTAGAGCTGTACCGACCCCTATAGATGAGACTCTGGTGGAAATGATAGTGGAAATGGGATTCCCTAGGGAGAGGGCAGAGGAGGCGTTAAGGCAGGTGGGCAACAATGTGGAGCTGGCTATGGAGTGGCTCATCAGCCACGTCCCAGAAGAGCCTCCCTCGGAAGAAGACGAACTCGCCCGCGCGCTCGCCTTATCTCTTTCTGGTGCGGATGGCGATGCTGGCGGTGGTCCTAGCACTCCTGGTGCTCCTAGCGCTGCTGGTGAGCAGGCTGGTGGGGAAGGGGCAGGAGATGCGAAGGGGGGAGAAGGAAAGGAGGGGGAGGAGAAGGGGAAGGGGAAAGTGAAGGAAGAGGAGGAGGAGAAGGAGAAGGAAGCGGAGGGGCGGAAGGAGGTGCGTGTGGAGGAGATGCTGGGGACAGTGGCGAGGGTGTTGAGAGACGCGGGGGAAGGAGCGGTGTTTCCCATGACCGACCTGCTGCTCGCTCTCTGCAGGCGGAACGCAGGCAAGGATAGGGGAGCGGTGGTGGCGTTCCTGGTGGGGCAGCTGAAAGACTCTCACGGGCAGCTGAAAGAATCCCAGAGCGGCATCGGGAGCGGGAAGGGTGAGAGCACAGCAGGGAGGCCAGAGAAAGAGGAGGAAAAGGCTGGTGTGCGGTGCGTGCAGCCCTTGCAGTCCGCCTTGGCTCACTGCCTGGCCGTGCTCCTCTCAGAGGACCTTCCCAGTGCAGACCTAGCGTCCAAGGAGGGCCTCCCTGCCGTCGCCCTCGACATGCTCTCGGCATACGTCTCCTCCGTCTGCCCCGACTACCACCCCCCGGCGCTGCCCCTCGCTGTGCTCGCCTCGCCTCCCAGCAAGAGCAGGCCGCAGCATGGCAGTGGGGGGTTGTCAGGTCAGCGGGCAGAGGCAGGGGCAGCAGGGGGCGAGGGGCTGGGAGAGGTGCCCAAGTGGGTGCCGTCGCTGTTCCTTGTGCTCGACTCGCTTGTTCAATGGAAGGTGCCGGGGACTGCTGCCCGGGATGTGGCAGGCGCAGCAGCAGCAGCAGGCAGAGGAGGAGGAGGCGGAGGGGCAGCAGCAGCAGCAGCAGGTGCTCCTGTGTCTTTTGCGTCTGTCCTGGCAGCTGGGGCAGCAGAGGAAGCTACTCCTGCTGCTGCTGGTACACCCGAGGCTCCATTTGGGGCAGGCGTATCTGCCGCCCGTGCAGGCAGCAAGGGCAAAGCCGCAGCGGAGTCAGGCGGGGAGGACGTGGAGGACCGGTTCACGGAGATCGCGGGCCTTTCCACCGGGTACCTCACCGACGACGAGAAAGCCCGCGCCATGGCCCTCGTCTGCCCCCTCCTGCGCCGCACTCCCCCGCCATCCCTTTGCCAGGCCCTGCTCCACCTCGCATCCCGCCTCTCCCGGTCCCACCCCGTTGCCCTCCTCTTTCTAGACCAGGGTGGGGTGGCGTCGCTCCTCGCGCTCCCGTTCTCCTCGCTCTTCCAGGGGTTTGAGAGCCTGGTGTCTGCGGTGGTGCGCCACGTGCTAGAGGACCCTTTCACGCTGCTACATGCAATGGAGGCAGAGATCAGGCATAGCCTCACCACGCTGTCGGGGCAGCAGGGCGGGCGGGTGTCCCCGCGCATGTTTCTGAGCTCCATGAGCGCGCTGATTTCCCGGGATCCGGCCGCTTTTCTGCAGGCCGTTGGGAATGTGTGTGAGGTGGAGACCGTTGGGGGGCGGCAGGTGGTTGTTTTGAAAAAGGAGAAGGAGAAGGAGAAGGAGAGGGAGAGGAAGGAGAGGGAGGAGAAGGAGAAGGGGAAGGAACGAGAGAAAGGGAAGGAGAAGGGGACGGGGGAGAGGGGGCAGCGAGCAGAGGCAGCGCCAGAAGCAGCAGCAACGGCAGCAACAGGGCAGCCAAGCACCTCTGATGTATCTCGAGCTTCAGGTCATGCCACTCATCACCATTCCTCACCGCTTTCAACCCCTCCGCAAACCTCTCCTCCCCCTCATCCCCCCTCAGGGCCCTACAGCAAGTCAGCAGACGGTAAGGTGCTGACGTGGGTGTCCAAGTCAGGCAGGGTGCGCAGGGTGCCCTGGAGCTTCGCCTCTGTGGTTGACCAGCTCCTGAACTACCTGCAGCAGTTCCCGCCGCCTGAAAACGCACCTGAAAAGGCACCTGGGGAGGTGTTCGAGGGGCTTGGTGTGGCTGCGATGGATGTTGGGAGTGGGGGTGGGGTTGGGGGGGATGGCGCCAGTGCAGGTGGTCCTGGAGAGGAAGCAATGGATGTGGACGCAGAGGGCGCTGAGAAGAAGGCAGGGGAGGAGGACAAGGAGACGGCAAAGCAGCAGGAGTTAGAGAAGGAGAAGGCAGAGCTTGCTATCTCGCGCACCACGCTGGTGCTGCGGCTGCTGACCGAGATCCTGCTGGCCTATTCTGCTGCCAGCACGCTCGTGCTCCGACGAGACGCTGAGACTGCTGCCGCTGCTGCTGCAGGTGCTTCAGCAGCAGCAGTTGGTGCAGGTTCGGGTGCAGGTGCAGCAGCAGCAGGGACTAGCACACCGCAGCAGCACAAAGGAACAGGATCTCGCGCGCACAAGCACACTCCAGATAAGCACAGCTCCCACCACCATTACCAGCAGCAGCAGCACCAGCTGCACCCTTCACCAGGGAAGCCTGACTCTGCAGCAGGCTCATCAGGAGCAGGCGCATCGGCATTGGCATCCAGAGGGGGTATCGTGCACCACGTGCTGCATGAGCTGCTGCCGCACCTCAGTGACAAACCCACCCCCACAGCAGGAAACACTGCCAGTGCGGCAGCAGGGCAAGCTGCCACCCACCCCGGGCACCACCGGCTGGGCACGCAGGCGTCCGCGTTCCTCATTGCACTCTGCGTGCGGTCCGGGGAGGGCCGGCGCCGCGTGCTGTCTGAGATCTCCAAGTCGCTGAGCCGCTTCGGCAGGGGTGAGGGGGGGAAGGCAGAGCAGGTGGGGCAGCAGCAGGAGAAGGCTGGAGTAGCCTCAGCTGGAGCAGCGGCGGCAGCAGGCGTGGTAGGGGGGGCTGGAGGGGAAGGTGGGGCCGCAGGAGCTTCTGGAGTTAAAGCAGCAGTTGCTGCTGCGAAGCTCCAAGTGCCCAACAAGCAGGTGAGGTCGTTCCTTGACCTCATGAACGCCCTGCTCTCCACCCACTCGGCCACTGGGAACAATCCACCTGGCGGCCCGGGCAGCTCGGCTCAGAGCTCTGCCTTTGCTGCAGAGATGGCCAAGACGGCCCTTGAAGTGGGCATGCTGCCAAACCTCTTGGAGACTCTGAGTGTAATAGACCTAAACCACCCCGAGTCCCCGAAGCTGGTGAATTCGATTCTCAGGGCTCTAGAGGTGCTCACCCGAGCCTCAGCTTCGGAAACTCATGCCGAGCCTGGGAGAGGTCCGGCAGCAGGCCAGCCGCCTTCGGTGGCTGCATCGCAGGGAACCCGGGCTGGAGGTTCGGGAAGGCAGGAAGGAGGTTCGGCAGGGGCTGGAGGGGTGCCGAGCCAAGCAGCAGCAGAAGGGGGGGCAGCAGGGGCGGATACAGGTGTGGATAGGGGCGAAGCACGAGGGGCAGGTGGCACGGATACTGCCATGGGGGATGCTGGTGGGGAGGGAGGGAGAGTAACGGCTGCTGGAGGCAGAGAGGCGGGAACCGACGCCCCGAGCGAAAGGGTGCAAGTGGGGGATCAAGAGGGGAGGCAGGAGGGGAGCCTGGATGGAGGGGAGGAGGCGGGAGCAGCAGGGGCAGGAGGGAGAAGGGCGATGGAGCAGGACGAGAGGCATGGGGGGGAGGAGGAGGAGGAGGAGGGGGGGATGGCGCATGAGGCAGAGGCGATCATGAGGAGGGTGGAGGGCGGGGGGGGCATGAGAGGGCCCATGCAGATTAGGTTTCAGATCAGAGATTTTGATAGGATGGGGGAGGATGGGGAGGATGGGGAGGAGGATGACGATGGGGATATGGAGGGAGAGGAGGACGGGGAGGAGGATGAGGATGAGGATGAGGACGGGGAGGAGGATGAGGAGGAGGAGGAGGGGATGGAGGAGGGGATGGAGGAGGAGGACGAGGATATAGAGGAGGAAGAGGAAGACGAGGAGGATGATGAGGAGGAGGAGGAGGAGGAGGAGGAGGAGGAGGAGGACGACGACGACGACGAGGAGCATGGGCATGGGCTTGGAGGGGAGGACAACGGGCATCTGCCCCCAGACGTCCTGGTGGATGACATGGACGAGCACGAGGCGGCAGCAGCACGCGCCATGCGGCATGACTTGGAGCGTGAGTTGGCCGAGGAAGAGGAGGAGGAGGACGAGGAGGGGGATGAGGATGACGACATGGACGAGGACGAGGAGGAGCCAGACGACGAGGACCTAGAGGACTGGGAGGACGGGGCGCGGTTCATCGAGGTGAGGTGGCGTGACGACGTCACGGGAGCCAACCATGTGCACTTGCTCACAGGGGGGGCGGATGTGGCTGGGCTAATGGACCTGCCAGGGTTTATGCAGAGGGATGTGTTGAACGACCCCCTGTATGCCGACATGAATGAGCCGGTGTGGGGGTGGGGCCGGCACCTGGCGAGCCATCAGCGCAGAGCGGCAGTCAGAAGCACGCTGCAGAGCCAGCAGCAGCTGTTGCAGCAGCAGGGGCAGGGGCAGGGGCAGGGGCAACTAGCGCGGACAGGCGCGGGCCCGCTGCACGTGCACCCTCTCTTGGCCCGCCCATTCGCCCCTGGTGCGGCACCAGACCCAGCGTCTGCTTCCGCATCCGCGTCTGCTCATGCAGCGGCGGCGCCTGGGTCGCACCTGTTAAACCTGCTGGCAGGGATGCGGGGCATGGTGGGGGGCGCAGGGGGGCCAGGCGGCGGGATGGAGCTAGACGCTGCTTTTGCCAGGGAGGTGGCGTCGCTCATGATGGCATATGAGAACCCGTTTCTAGAGGACATGCTGCAGGCCAGGGGGCTGCTGGATCCCAGAGCCATGGGCGGCATGGGGGTGGGGCATCCGTCGGCGGTGGAGTTTGACCCAGGGAGAGCGAGGGCGATGGGGGTGAGTGGGCTGGGGCCCCTGGTGGGGGGCGCGGCGGGGCGAGGGGAGTTTGGAAGGGCGAATCGATGGACGGATGATGGGTTACCGCAGCCGGCAGGCACGGGCGCTGCTGTTGCCCAGGCGCTGGAGAGTGCCTTCCTGCGGTCCATGCAGGGGGGGCGAGACGCAGGGCGAGGGGGCGGGAGAGAGGGAGGAGAAACAGGGGCGCGGGGAGGTGGAAGTGGGGGGCGGAATGGGGAGAGGCAGCAGGGGAGGGCGGTAGGAGGAGGAGGAGAACAACAGCGACAGGGGGAGAGGCAGGAGCAGCAGCAGATGGAGCAGCAGGGGGAGCTGGAGAGGGAGCAGGAGAGGGAGGCGAGGCAGGAAGGCAGTGGAGGGGCCACGGGGGCAGGAGGGAGTGGGGGAGGTGCAGGTGCAGCAGAGGGTGGGGCGGGAGGAGCAGCAGGAGAAGCCGCAGCAACTGCAGGAGCAGAAGCAGCAGGAGCAGGAGAAGTAACAGGAGAGCAGGCAGGTGCAGACAGCGTTCAAATTGGCACTGGGGCAGAAGCACAAGCACATGTGGAAACAGAAATAGAAGCAGAAGCCACAGAGGCCGGAGCAGGTCGGGATGGAGGGGGGGAGGGGGGAGAAGAGGGCCGGGCAGCAGGAGATGCGCAGATGGGCGAGAGAGGGAGTGAGAGGGAGGTGGAAGCAGAAGTGGAAGTGGCGAGTCAGGGCAGCGGGGGAAGTGGGTTCACGGCAGGTGAGAGCCTGCGGAGTCTCGAGGTTGAGGTAGGTAGCATCGACAGCCATGATGACATGCTGCTGCTCGGTGCCACTGCTGGTGCTGCTCCTGCTGCCGCCGCCGCCTCCGCCGCTGCTGCTGCTACAGCTGTGGCTGTTCCTGCAGCTGTAGCGGCTACAGCAGCTGCTCCAACTGTGCCAGGCTTAGATGGAGAGGTGGCGCCAGCTGCAGCAGCTGGTGCAGAACAGGAGGGCACAGCACCACAAGCACCAGCAGTTGAAGCAGCAGTAACAGCTGAAGGTACGGGAGGAGGTGCAGCATTAGATGCAGTGGAGATGACAGGCATGGAAGTGGGAGGGGCTCAGGAGGAGCAGGTCACAGCTGGTGAGGGGGTGCCAGCGCCCTCCCCTGCTGCTGCTGCTGGTGAAGATGCAGCAGCAGCAGCAGCAGCAGCAGCAGCAGCAGCAGCAGGTGGAGCTGCAGCAGTGTCTGAAGGCGAAGGTGAGGATCCTTCTGCTCCTTCTGCCGGCACGGCCTCCGGTCCTGCTGCCACCGCTGCCTCTGCTCCCACTGCCCCGGCCACCACTGCTGACGCTGCACCTGCCGCTCCTGTCTCAGCCGCAGCTGATGCTTCAGGTGGAGCTTCAGGTGGGGCTTCAGGTGCGCCAGGTGCTTCGGGTGGTGCTGCAGCAGAGGAAGAGGACTTGCCTGAGATTGATCCTACGTTCCTGGAGGCTCTACCAGAGGATCTGAGGGCGGAGGTGCTGGCGTCCTTCCAGGTGGAGCGGGCTGCCAGGCAGGCCCGGCAGAGACGCGCGCAGCAGCAAGCAGCGCAGTCGCAGGGACAGGCGCAGGGGGGGCAAGGTGCTGCGGGGGGTGCAGGAGCAGGGGGGGCAGCGGGAGCAGGACCAGCAGGAGGCGCAGGGGGGGCAAGCGGAGCAGGGGGAGCGGGGGGGGCAGGGGGAGCAGGGGGGATGGCAGCAGGGGCGGGGTTGGGAGGGGAGGACGCAGGGGAGTTGGACCCGGAGTTCCTGGCGGCGCTGCCGCCGGACATCCAGGCGGAGGTGCTGGCGCAGCAGCAGGCGCAGCGCATGATGGCCGCTGCTGCTGCTGCAGGAACGGATGGGCATCCCGTGGACATGGACAGCGCGTCCATCATCGCCACCTTCCCTGCCGAGCTCAGAGCAGAGGTGAGCTGCGTGGGGTATTTGGAAGGGCTTTTCAGGGCGTTCTGCTCGTGGACATGGCCAGCGCGTATCTTATTGCCCCGTTCCCAGCGGAGCTCAGAGAAGGGTTCTTTCGCTTTCACCCTAAAGAAGGCTCCGATGGGCATCTGGTGGACAAAGACAGTGTCACTACCCGTGCCACTACCCCCTGTGCCACTAGCCCGCTGTGCCACTACCCCCATGCCACTAAACCCCGTGCCACTACCCCCCCGTGCCACTACCCCCCATGCCATTACCCCCCATGCCACTACCCCCCGTGCCACTACCCTCCGTGCCATTACCCCCCGTGCCACTACCCCCCATGCCACTACCCCCCGTGCCACTACCCCCCGTCTCACTTGAAGAAAGCTCCCCTTTGCGCATCTTGCGTCTTCACTTCTCGCCTTGCCACAACACTCCACAATGTCATGCCTTTCCGCTCTCCTTAGTGTCACCCTTCCCTCTCCCTGCGCCTTCCCAAAGCAGTGCTAGCGTCCCTCCCATCCACTCTGCTCGCTGAAGCCCAGCTTCTGAGAGAGCGGGCCAGCAGCAGCACCACCCCACGCACCCACACCACCACCCCGCCATGTTCGGAGGGTCCATCCTAGGCAGTGCAGGTTCCTGCCTCTCATGTCTTGAGGCGTTTCACCACTCATCCTCTCCCCTGCCCTTCCCTCCTCCCCTTCCGCCCCTTGTCCCCGGCAGGTCCTTCTGACCTCATCGGAGGCAGTGCTAGCGTCCCTCCCCCCTGCTCTCCTGGCGGAAGCCCAGCTATTGAGGGAGCGGGCGATGCAGCAGTACAGTGCGCGGCACCAGCAGCACCACCACCCCACGCACCCGCACCACCACCCCACCATGTTCGGAGGGCCCATCCGCCGCTCCCCCGCTGTCGCGGGCGGCACCACCGCCCACCGCCGCCCCCCGCACCCGTTTGCTGTAGCTGGGGGGGAGGGGGGGGTGGGAGATGGGTTTAGAGGGTTTAATGGGGTGGGGGTGGGGAGGAGGGAGAGGGAGGGGGCGGGGTCAGGGGCAGGAACAGGGGGAGGGAGAGGGATTGGGGAAGCGGGGGAGGAGGAGAAGGCGCCTGTGGTGGATGAGAGGGCGCTCAAGGCGCTCATTCGCCTGCTGCGCATCTCCCAGGTGAGAGCCTTGGCAGTGGGAGACTTGGTCACTACATCGTGGGTTGCGCATGTCACACAGCTCCTCTCACCCCTTTTCACCGCCAATATTTCCTCCTCTCCCCTCTTGTCGCCGTGTTCAACTCGCAATTCCCCACCAGCCCCTGCAGAAAGCCCTGCTGCCTCGCCTGCTGGCCAATCTGGCGCCGCACCCCGCCACACGCGCAGCCCTCGTGCGCATCCTGCTGGACCTCCTGCGACCAGACGCCTTCTCCTTGCTCATCCCCCCATCCCTCTCTCCCCTTCGATCCTGCCACCAACCCCTGCACAAGTCTGTCCTGCCTCGCCTCCTGGCCAGCTTCCTGTTCCTTCCCTAACCCATCCCCTTCTCTCACCCAACCCTCCCCCCTCCCCTCTCCCGCCACCAGCCCCTGCAGAAGGCTCTTCTTCCTCGCCTGCTGGCCAATCTGGCATCGCACCCCGCCACCCGCGCAGCCCTCGTGCGCATCCTGCTGGACCTCCTGCGACCAGATTCGGATCCGACGGACCAGCAACCAACGGGGCAGCATCCAACGGTCCAGATTGCTGTGGTCATGGAGGGTGCTGCTTCTGGCGCCCAACCTGCAGCTGACGGCGCTCCTCCTCACCAGCTCTACTGCTGCCAGTCCAATGTGGTCTACGCGCGGCCCCAGCGACCCAACAGTGAGTCCCTGAGTCCCCTTGCATGTGGGCACTACCGTATATGTTGTTCTACTCTTGAGGGGCCTCAGGAAGAGGCCTCGCCCCACCAGCTGTACTGCTGCCAGTCCAACGTGGTCTACGTGCAGCCCAAGCGACCCAACAGTGAGTCCCCTTGCATGTGGGCGCTACCCTCTATGTGATCGGTTTTCCTTCTTGAGGCACCTTAGAAACATGCCCCCGCCGCACCAGCTGGTACTGCTGCCGGTCCAATGCATCCCCCACTTGTGCTACCCACTTCCACCCCTCCATGCATCCCCCTCCTTGTGTCTTGGAGCTTCTCGCCTATCTCTCCCGTCCACTCCCTCGCTGCCATGCGCCTGCTGCTGCTCTGAGCCAACTTCAAACGTTCTTCCGCTGTTTGTTCCCCCCCCCATCCCCCATTGCCCCAGGCATCCCTCCCCTTGTGTCCCGCCGCGTGCTCGAGCTTCTAGTCTACCTCTCCCGCCATTCCCTCGCTGCCACGCGCCTGCTGCTGCTCTTCCCTGACGCGCTCACCCCCATGGCGCAGCAGCAGAGCGAGAGGGAAGAGAGGGAGAAGGAGCAGGAGAAGGAGCGGGAGCAGCGGAAGGGCAAAGCTAAGATCACTGAAGTATCAGAAGAGGCAGCAGGAGGGGCGGCAGCAGCGGGGGATATGTTAGAGGAGGGAGTTGTTGTGGGCAGGGGAGTGAAGGATAAGAGAAGAGAAGGCAAGGAAGGGGAGGAGGAGGAGGGGGAGGTGGAGGAAGGGGAGGTGCCGTTTGTGCTGATGCTGCACTTGTTGAGGCAGCCTCTCTACCTGCGCAGCTCGCCCCACTTGGAACAGGTCAGTCAGTCAGTGCTGCGCCAGTTCTTTTCTTGGATATGGGGGTGGTAATCGTTGCATTCTCCCGTTTTCCTCGTCCTCTCCCCCTTTCGCCTTGTCCTGTTCTTTTGCCGCATTTCCTCCCCATGGCCGTGCTTGACTATAATCAACGCTTTCCCACTCAATGGTTGCCTTAGGACTCTGAAGAATTATGTCTTTTAGAAGTGAAGTCCATACATTACAACCACTGCACTTTCCTTGCTGCTTGGCGTGTTGAGTGCCGCATCTTTTTTCCCGCTCCTTTCCTCCCTCTGTGTGCCGGGCAGCTGCTAGGGCTCATGGAGGTTGTAGCGCGGGCAGCTGCAGAGGAGGCTCTTTCTGCCGCTGCCACTGCTGCTGACATGGCTAGGGCCGCCGCTGACACGGCTAGGGCTGCCACTGACACGGCTAGGGCTACTGCTGCCACCACTGCTGCTGCCACTGCTGCCGTTGCTACTGCTGCTGCTAGACTCGAGGGGCAACTAGCAGGAGAAACGCCAGCAGCAAGTGCGCCAGAGGCAGCTGCACCTGCTGCTGCAACAGCAGGTGCAGCAGCAGCAGTAGGGACAGGATTGACAGGAGGAGCTGACGCGGGTGCTGCCACACCTGCTACCGAGGCAGCAGCTGCGGCTGCAGGCCCTGCCGAGGCAGCGACGGAGGCTCGGATGGAAAGCGATTCAGGTCCGGGGACTGCCGAGGCTGAACCCGCAAGCAGAGACGTGGAGATGGGAGAGGGGGAGAGAGAGGAGGGAGCGGACGGAGGAAGGGAAAGGGAGTGGCAGGCAGGACAGGAGGGGCAGGAGCAGGAGAGACAGGAGGTAGGGGAAGCCCGGGAAGGAGCTCCAGCTGAACAGACTGCAGCAGCAGCAGCAGCAACAGCTGATGCTGCCGCTGCTTCTGCTGCTCTTCCTGCTGCTGGTGGAACAGAAATCGCCACTGCACCATCGACTGACACCATTTCTGCCCCATCTTCCGCCCTCGCCGCCCCTCCCACCTCCGCCACTCAACCCCCTCCTCCCCCGGTGCCCTTCCCAGTGGCTATCTTCCTCCGAATCCCCTCTCCTGACCTCTGCATCCTCTCCCAGCTCCTCGCCCACGAGGGCCTCTCGGACGCCTCCTACTCGCGAACTGTTTCCGTGCTGCGCCTTGTCACCTCCGTGGTCCCCAGGTACCGTGAATTGTTCATTGCTGACCTGGCAGAGGCGGCGCGCCAGCTCAGCACGCCGGCCACGCGGGAGCTGCTGGAAGTGGTGGAGGGGGCGGATGGAGGGGAGGGTGAGGGAGGTGAGGAAGAGGAGAAAGCAGCAGCAGCAGCAGCAGCCGAGAGTGGGAGAGAGACTATGGAGGGGCAGGAAGTAGAAGCAACAGCAGCAGCAGCAGCAGCAGCAACAACCCAAACACCAGCAGCAGCACCATCAGCACTAGCGGGTGTGGCTGGCAAGCCATGGGGCTTAACCAGAGCAGGAGCAGCCACTCTCCGCGTGCTCAAGACCCTCACGTCTCTCCTCTCACAGCCAGCCTCCTCCCTCCCTCCCGCCTGGGACCGTGACTCCCCCTCAGCCCCGGCGACAGAGGCGGAGTGCCAGGCAGTGGTTGCCCACCTCGTTGCATCCCTATACCCCCTCTGGCAGGTGCTATCCGAGTGCTGTGCCAAGCTGGAGGCTCGGTACAAGAACCACCCTGCGCTCTCCGCCTCGTCTGCCTCGGCCGGACCTGCAGGTTCGGCGGTGGATGGCACAGGAGGTGTGGGGGGAGGGGCGGCGGGAGGGGCGGTGCCACCGCTGCCGTCAGCAGCGCAGCAGCTGCTGCCGTTTGTGGAGTCGTTCTTTGTGCTTTGTGATAAAACCAGTGGCAAGGGGAAGGGGGTGGCTTCTGCTGGGGGGCCTGCTGCTGCTGATGCTGGTGCTGCTGCTGCTGCTGCTGCTGCTGCTGGCACCAGTGCAGTGTCAGCAGCAGCACTAGCAACACCAGTACCAGCAGCAGAGACTGCTGCCCAACCAAGCTCAAGCCAATCCGTCACTCCATCCGTGTCAGTCGAACCCCTCCCCACTGCTGCCACCACCACAGCCACCATCACAACACCAGCACCAGCAGCAGGCATCCCCTCCTCCTCCTCCACCCCATCCTCCTCCTCCCCTTCCTCCGCTCTCCTGCGCTTCACGGAGCGCCACCGCCGCCTGCTCAACGCTTTTGTGCGCGGCAACCCTGGCTTGCTAGAGCGCTCCTTTGCCCTGCTGCTCAAGTCGCCGTGGCTGCTGGACTTTGACAACAAGCGTGCCTACTTCCGGTCCAGGATGCGGCACCTGCATGAGCAACCGCACTACGGCACGCTCAGGATCACAGTCAGACGGCCGTATATACTGGAAGACTCGTACAACCAGGTAGGGCATCAATGTTTCATGATTCCGTGTTTTTCGGGGACATGGAACTCATATCAGGGCACTGAGTAGTGCACCAGGTGAGCTGTGAGCTGGTTTTTTAGAATTCTCAGGAACAAACTCAACTCATATGGACTCCCTTTTCCAGGACAAGGGAGCGTTGCTCTTCATCACTCTCACTCGACCTCGTCTCTTCGTGCTCAACCTCCCCCTTTTTCCTCTCGTTTTTCCGCTTCATGCGCCCTTCACAGCTGCGCATGCGCACAGCAGAGGAGCTAAGGGGCCGCCTGAACGTGCACTTCCAGGGCGAGGAGGGCATCGATGCAGGCGGTCTCACGAGGGAGTGGTATCAGCAGCTGTCGCGCGTGGTGTTTGACAAGGGCGCGCTGCTCTTCACCACTGTGGGCAACGACACGTCCTTCCAGCCCAATCCCAACTCCGTGCTGCAGCCGGGGCACCTCTCCTACTTCAAGTTTGTTGGCCGCGTGGTGAGTGTTATTTGACGTGCATTTCACCCTTTCCTTCTACAAGCACATCCTGAGCGTGAGGGTCATCTTTTTGCTCCTCAAACCCCCTTCTCCCCTTGCCCCACCCACCCACCCAACACCAATACCCACCCAATCCGTGTCTCGAGGTGTGTCAAGGCATTGTGCAATAGGCAGCTGCTAGACTTGCAGCTCGCCCGCTCCTTCTACAGGCACATCCTGGGCGTCAACGGCACCTCCTCACGACCCTCCACCTGTTCTCTTTCCCCACCTGGTCACCCCCCCCGCTCCCCCCGCCCCCCCCCACCAGGTAGCCAAGGCGCTGTAAGATGGTCAGCTCCTAGATGTGCACTTCACGCGCTCCTTCTACAAGCACGTCCTGGGCGTGAAGGTCACTTCCTCATGACTCTCCACCTGTCTTTTCCCCCTCCCCTCTTCCCCCCCCCCACCAGGTGGCCAAGGCCCTGTACGATGGTCAACTGCTAGACGTGCATTTCACGCGCTCCTTCTACAAGCACATCTTGGGCGTGAAGGTCACTTTCCACGACATAGAGGCCATCGACCCCGACTACTACAAGAACCTGCAGTGGATGCTCGAGGTGAGTGCGCTTAGGTCTCCTTGCTCTTCCAGTTGTGGGGTTGGTGTTGTGCAGTTAGTCGCAAGCTTGCTCCGTCCGTGCCCTTCACTGCATTGGAGTCACTCTCCACAGCATAGAGGCCATTGACCCCGACTACTACAAGAACCTGCAGTGGATGCTCGAGACGAGGTGGGGAAAGGGTGTTGTTTAGGGCATTTTCTATCATGTGTCCGCTAGTGCATTGGAGTCACTTACCATGACATAGAGGCTATGGACCCTGACTACTACAAGAACCGGTGAGGTGGGGGGATGGGGTGGGAGGATGAACCGTGTACAGTGGGCTGCATGCATGCCGCTGGGGTGTATGGTGACGGGTTGCATGCTGTTGAGTTCCCAGGGAATGCGCCAGTGGTACAGCTGTTGTTCGAGGGGGGACTGGCGTTGAGTCGACTCAAAAGTCGAATGCGCTCGTGGCCCTGTTGTTGGAGGGGTAAGTGGGAGTCACCGGCACTGGAGATGGTGGGGCGAATTGAATTTAATGTCAGATATATGGTCATCCAGGTGATTTTTTCCGCGGTTTGAAAAAAAACACGGAAAATATATTACCTGGATGATGACTACATGTTTGACATTAGGTTCTGTTTGCAAGCCAGCAACTGTATACTACGCCCCACCATCTCAAGTGCCGGTAACTCCCAGTTTTGCTAAAGCGACATCTGTGGCCTGGATCTCACATTCCGCATGCATGCCAATGTTTCTCACAAGCTCTCTTAGCTGTAGCCAACTGTTGGTATGCTACGGTCGTAAAGAAACTATGGTCTGGTACCTGTGGGTGAATAGTCCTATTAATAGCAAGGAAATTTGGGCGAGGATGATGAAATCTAGGTGGGCAGTACGATGAGTGAGAGGGTCGGCGATGCTGGATGCGTCTTTTTTGTGAAAGTTGCTCTCCATAGAATCTAGCCAGCGGAACTGTCCAGGGTTGAGTAGTGGTTGCGCGCAAATGCATTGTAGGCTTCGATGACCTATTCGTGTTGTCATGTCTGCTCTCATCAGGTGACATCGCCATATTTTGAAAGCGAGCATGATCACAATCTTCTTCATCTCGTATATCAGATCATTTCTCTCAGGCAGGTGTAACATTCGTGACTCTAACGCAATTGGTTGTAAACCCATGCCGTGCTCTAACCTCTCCTTTCCTGCCCCCCTTTCCCCTTCCCCATCTCCCCCTCTCTCCCCCTCTCTCCCCCTCTCTCCCCCTCTCTCCCCCACTCTCCCCCTCTCTCCCCCTCTCTCCCCCTCTCTCCCCCTCTCTCCCCCTCTCTCCCCCTCTCTCCCCCACTCTCCCCCTCTCTCCCCCTCTCTCCCCCTCTCTCCCCCTCTCTCCCCCTCTCTCCCCCTCTCTCCCCCACTCTCCCCCTCTCTCTCCCTCTCTCCCCCTCTCTCCCCCTCTGCCAGAACGACATCTCTGATATCCTGGACCTCACGTTCAGCATGGACGCGGATGAGGAGAAGCGCATTCTGTACGAGCGCACTGAGGTGAGCACGGCGCTTGGGCTCTTGACTCGAGCACTCTTGACTCGAGCACTCTTGACTTGAGCAATCTTGTCTCGAGCACTCTTGACTCGAGCACAATGACAAGGAGAAGCTGATTAGTCCTGCATCATGCTTGGTATTAATGCATTATAGCCGCCATCCACTTGAGCTGATGTCTCTCCCCTGCCGCTCCGTCCCCCCTGCCCCAACAGGTGACAGAACATGAGCTCATCCCCGGTGGCCGCAACAGAAGAGCAACGGAGGAGAACAAGCACGAGCACGTGGACGCAGTCTGGCAGATTACCGCATGACGGCCCCCCTCACGACCTGCTCTTCTTGCCTCACCCATTTCTCTCTCCCTCAGGTGACAGACCATGAGCTCATCCCCGGTGGCCGCAACAAAAGAGCAACGGAGGAGAACAAGCACGAGCACGTGGACGCAGTCTGGCAGATTACCGCATGACGGCCCCCCTTGCGACCTGCTCTTCTTGCCTCACCCATTTCTCTCTCCCTCAGGTGACAGACCATGAGCTCATCCCCGGTGGCCGCAACAGAAGAGCAACGGAGGAGAACAAGCACGAGCACGTGGACGCAGTCTGGCGGATTACCGCATGACGGCCCCCCTCACGACCTGCTCTTCTTGCCTCACCCATTTCTCTCTCCCTCAGGTGACAGACCATGAGCTCATCCCCGGTGGCCGCAACAAAAGAGCAAGGGAGGAGAGCAAGCATGAGTACATGGATGCAGTGGCTGACAGACTACCGCATGACTGCTGCCGCGCCCTCCCTGTGTGTCTTCCCTGCTTTCTGCCAACAGGCCACGGACCATGAGCTCATACCGGGCGGTCGTAACATCCCGGTAACGGAGGAGAACAAGCACGAGTACGTGGACGCAGTGGCGGACTACCGGCCGCCATCCCTTTCCTCTATGTCTTCCTTTCACTGCCCCTCCCTCCACCCCTGCCCCCAACAGGTGACAGACCATGAGCTCATCCCAGGAGGCCGCAACATCCGGGTGACGGAGGAGAACAAGCACGAGTATGTGGACGCCGTGGCCGATTACCGCATGACAGCCGCCATCCGGCCGCAGATAGCCGCCTTCATGGAGGGGTTCAACGAGCTCATTCCCAAGGACCTGGTCGCCATGTTCAACGACAAGGAGCTGGAGCTGCTGATATCCGGCCTGCCTGAGATCGACAGTGAGTTATGGGGCTGTCAGTGAGTGCTTGCATGTGTGACTGTGTGTCTGTACTCGAGGGCTTCAACGAGCTCGTCCCCAAGGACCTGGTCGCCATGTTCAACGACAAGGAGCTGGAGCTGCTCATCTGGGGACTGCCTGAAATAGACAGTGAGTGGTGGTGCTGAGTTGGGGGCTGCATCCACTCAGGTGTGATGGGCTTCACGGAGCTCATTCCCAATGGCCTGGTCGCCTTGTTTAATGACAAGGAGCTAGACCTCCTCGTTTCAGGGCTGCCTGAGATTGACAGCGAGTGCTGGAGTCAGGAGCAGGACCACCTCCACGACTTGAGACTGTTGATTTGCTCAAAAGCTGTTGATTCCAGTCGACAACCGGCGCAGCAACACTGACTATGCAGGGTACTCAGCAACCTCGCCTCCTTGCCTGATCCCCCTGCCTCTCCCCTCATCCTTTCATCCCCATCTGCCTCCCTCCCCAGTCGACGACCTGCGCAGCAACACGGACTACACGGGGTACACGGCGGGGTCCCCCCAGGTGCAGTGGTTCTGGGACGTGGTGGCGCACCTCTCCAAGGAGGACCGAGCAAGGCTGCTGCAGTTTGTAACGGGCACATCTAAGGTGAGCGCACTGGCACATCTAAGGGGAGCGCACCGGCACATCTAAGGTGAGAGCACCGGCACATCTAAGGTGAGAGCACATGCACGTACCCGCCCTCACAGGCACATCCAAGGTGAGGCACATTCGCACCCATCCAGCTTTTGATGCCCATGCATGCATGCACCACCCACTCTGCCCCTGCCCATGCTTGGCTTGTGTGCCTGGCTTTTGTGCTGCGTCTTTCGTCTCACGCCTGCGCCCTCTCCACCTTCCTGGCAGGTTCCTTTGGAGGGCTTTAAGGCGCTGCAGGGCCTGTCCGGGCAGCAGCGGTTCCAGATCCACAAGGCGTATGGCGACAACAAGAGGCTGCCCTCTGCCCACACATGGTGCGTTGTGCTACCTCTCCCACTCCTCACTTCCTCGCAATTGCTCTGTTTCTCCCACTCTCCCACTCTCCCAAAGCATTTCTTCTCCAAACCAATCTCCCTCCGGTTTCTCCCTCCCCCTCCTCTCTCTCGAGAATTTCCCACTTATACGGTAGTTGCTCCGTTCCCGTTGTTTGCTCCACGCGCCTCTCGCATCCATCCCTCCGGCACTCCCTCAAGCAAGTTATGCATTGCTTTGGCCTGCTCCCCCCGTGTTCCTCCGTGTCATCGCCCATTCAGCTTCAACCAATTGGATTTACCTGAGTACGGGTCCAAGGAACAGCTGCGGGATCGGCTTCTCTTGGCCATTCACGAAGCCAGTGAGGGCTTCGGCTTCGGTTGATGTAGCCCCCGGTGGATGGATTTGTTGAAGTCGTCTCACCACTGTACGCCATTGTGCGCGTATGGATGTACATTGCAATGATAGCATTGGTGACACTGCTTGCATGGTAGTGCTGAGTACTTTCATGATAAATTGTTTTGTGATTCTTGCAGCTGATTGTAAGTATTTTTCCGTAGTTTTGTGAGATCATGCAGATTGAACGGTGATAGTGGTGGGTTACTCTTATCGAGCTGCGTTGGCCATTTGTGACACTGGTGGAGTTGCACCAGACACCAGCCAATTGCGACGGTCACGGACAATCTGGCATTTTCACACCTATGCAATAAGATCCGCCATGTCATCATTCCAGGTGTCGTTCTGTCACTCAATCCACATCAGTTGGATCTAAGTCACGCGGAAGCTCCTCGACACAGATAGGCACAGAAGTGTGGATATGGAGACTCGTGGTAGCGCGTGACAATGTGGATGACCTGTCATACGACCTTCCTTTCTGGGCCTTTCGAAGCGATTCGCATTGCAGACGTGGCATTGGTCAGAACTCTTTCGCACTCTTCAGCATGTCCTTGCGACTGCTGCGAAGCAAATTCGCCGTTCGCTTGCCATGGCTGCCTCCCTCCCAGCCACTCGCTTCTCCCAGTTCCCTTCCAGCCGTTGAGCTGAGAGGGGAGGGGGGAGGAGAGGAGCAACTGTGAACAGTGCGCACATTCTTTCATCGGACCAGCACTGCACTGCACACATTCAGGCCAGCTTCTTCCGCCATAAATAGCCAGAAGCCTCATTTCCCGGGTAATCTGAACGGCGTTTCTTCGCATCTACAGAGCAGCAGCTAGTCTCCTGCTTCCTGCGACCTCCTTTCATCCATTTCTCACTCTTTCGCTGAGAATGGCTGCTTCCGTCGCTACCTCCTCCAAGGTGGTCGTCGCGCCCCGCGCGGCCCTGTCCCAGGGCAGCAGCGCCGGCTCCAGCTCTGTCAGGGCGTCCGCCGGCATCAGGTCCTTCAACGGCCTGGTCGCTGGTAACAAGGACACCCAGAAGTTCGCCAACATTTTCGCCGTCGAGCATGACATCCACTCCGCCGTCGCCTCGCACGTCGCCAAGGCGGGCAAGGGCACCCGCGGTGTGGTAACCATGGCGAAGAAGAGCGTGGGTTCGCTGACGGAGGCGGACCTGAAGGGCAAGCGCGTGTTCGTGCGCGCAGACCTGAACGTGCCCCTGGACGCGGACTTCAACATCACCGACGACACTCGCATCCGCGCCGCCGTGCCCACCATCAAGTACCTCATGGAGAAGGGCGCCAAGGTCCTCCTCACCTCCCACCTGGTAAGCCACATCACCACCTAGAATTGATGCAATCTTTGGACTGCTAGGTTCATTTTCATCCACTCTGACTTAACATTGCCGAAATCGCCAGTTTTTTTACGTAACATTGTCTACCCATCTAGAGTGACAACTTCTATTTGCTTCCAAATTTCCTCGTTTATCCTCCCTTCATCTCAACCTTTTTGCACCTCCGTCAATTTCCCTTTTTTATAATTCCAGGGTCGCCCTAAGGGTGTGACTGAGAAGTTCCGCCTGACCCCTCTGGTGAACCGCCTGTCGGAGCTCCTCGGCATCAAGGTCGCCAAGACCAACGACTGCATCGGCGAGGAGGTCGAGAAGGCCGTCGCCGCCCTCCCCAACGGCGGCGTGGTCCTCCTGGAGAACGTGCGCTTCTACCCTGAGGAGGAGAAGAACGTCAAGGAGTTCGCCGAGAAGCTCGCCGCCAACGCCGACCTGTACGTCAACGACGCGTTCGGCACGGCGCACAGGGCGCACGCGTCCACCGCCGGAGTGACGGAGTTCCTGAAGCCGTCCGTCGCGGGCTTCCTTCTCCAGAAGGAGCTCGACTACCTCGATGGCGCCGTCACCAGCCCCACCCGCCCCTTCGCCGCCATCGTCGGCGGCTCCAAGGTGTCGTCCAAGATCGGCGTGATTGAGTCGCTCCTGGCCAAGTGTGACATTCTTCTGCTGGGCGGCGGCATGATCTTCACCTTCTACCGCGCGCTCGGGTACAAGACCGGGTCGTCGCTGGTGGAGGAGGACAAGATCGAGCTGGCCACCAGCCTGATCAAGGCCGCCGAGGCCAAGGGCGTCAAGCTGCTGCTGCCCACCGACGTCGTCATCGCCGACAAGTTCGCCCCCGACGCCAACTCCAAGGTTCGTAGCTCGAGGAAATCTCACCAATACTTCTCTCTCTCGCTCTCGCTCTCTCTCTCGCTCTCTCTCTCTCGCTGTTTGGCCACCACCGCCCCACACGTCTTTCGGCGCTCTCAATTTCTTTCCCGAAACAATAATTATGGAGAAGCTCAATCCCAATCCCAATGTAATCTTCACATTGTCATTCGTGAAAGAGCTCTGCCTGATGTTATTGCTCCACTCGCCTCCTCGTGCCTCCCTGCAGATTGTGTCGGCCAAGGACATCCCCGACGGCTGGATGGGTCTGGACATCGGCCCCGACTCCGTGAAGACCTTCAACGAGGCGCTCGACACCTCCAAGACCGTCATCTGGAACGGCCCCATGGGCGTCTTCGAGTTCGACAAGTTCGCCGTCGGTACCGAGGCTGTTGCCAAGAAGCTCGCGGACCTGAGCGGCAAGGGCGTGATCACCATCATTGGTGGCGGTGACTCCGTGGCGGCGGTTGAGAAGGTGGGAGTGGCGGAGCAGATGAGCCATATCTCCACTGGCGGCGGTGCCTCACTGGAGCTTCTCGAGGGCAAGGTGTTGCCAGGTGTTGCCGCTCTTAACGAGGCTTAGATGCTCTTAAATATGTTTTTTTGCCTTCTCCCACAGTTTTGTACAATTTTCGCATTCAAATGAAAATGAAATTCTCTTAGAGCATGTTGTGTTTCATACTGTACGCGACCGTTCTGGACGTTCACAAAACGCCACGAAACCTCACGAGAGCACTGTATGTATGCTTGTGACACACTCGTACTGTTTTTCTGAGGGGGCCGCTATTAGAGGTGAATGGCTGCTGACATTGCACAAATTATTTGGCATTTAGGGTCAGCAGATGTACACCATCAGATGTGACAAAATGGGCCTGAACTTATCTGGAAATACCATGGCATAAACTGGTATTGATTTAGTGGAAAGATGTGACATAATGGGACCTAATGGCAGCCATAATGGGACCCACATGGCTGATTGTTCAGCCATGTGGGCTCTCATGTGAGTGCTGGAGGCTTTTGCTCTCTGCACTAGTTTCCCAGAGGCGACACCCAGCAACATATCTTGCAAATTGATCAGAAGAAGCGATGCCATGAGGTTTGGAGAAGCCCCTTCCTTTGCTTGGGGCTGCTGTTGGTCACATCAGTGAGGTGAGGTGCCGAGCCAAGTTTCCTGCTTTACGAAGCAGATGACCAAGGTGATGAGTGATGACCACGAGAGCTGACAGCGACAGTGGCGACAGCCCCTGGGTTTGGTTGACAGAGCAGAGGATGCATGCGGAAGTCCAGGAAAGTCGAAAACGACATAAACGACATCTCAGGAAAAGTTGACAGCGACATCGGCGAAATTCCACAAAACTCGACAATGACAGCAGTGCAGTCCTGCTGGTGGCGCTCGTTATTTCGCTTCCGAACTGGTTACCATTGAAATCATTCGTTCGCCAGCGAGCAGGGTGTGGCTGGTACATCTCATCCTGTAGAAACGTCCCTAAGGTATTTGCTGGAGGGATGCTGCTCTAAATAGTATTTTGCTTGTTGAACAAGCAAAGATGGATTCTGCACCCCAAAACAACCATGGCGCTGTCAGTTCTGCTGTCGTAACCTAGGTCAGCCGAAGACCGACAGCAACATAGATACCAAGGCCAATTTGACGACGTGTTTATTATTGTGAGGAACACAAGCTCTCGTTCTCCCCTCCGCGAGATTCACCGCGCGTTTTAGGTCAGACAGTTGCATCCCGCTTTTAGGTCGACGAGGTCCTCCGTTCGACCAGCCATGGGGATCTTCAAGTCGTTATTCTCCTTCTGTCTCGGAACCACCTTCGGGATATACGTCGCGCAGACGTACAACTTACCTCCGCTGAGGCTAGTGGTGGACCAAGCGATTTCAGTGGGGAAGCAACTTGAAGACGCCTATAGAAAGCGAGAGCAGGGACGTGATCCAGATGGAAGTAAAGACAAGGAGTAAAGAAAGCGAGTCCCCGGGTTAGGACTAAGTGGCGATTCCTAACTGCTCATCATCTTTGCTGCTAACCCGCTGCACCTGCCAGGCTGCCTGCCGGCCTCTAGTGTGTCCGGTTTATGCTTGCTGCTTTAAGTCACATATACTATGAAGCGTTGGTCAGAATTTAGGGACGAAGCCTGTCTGTAGCGTGTTCGTGCTTGTATTATTTAACTAAGCTTCCACTATACCATTTCCATTATCCAACATGTTCCTCTCTTTTCCTCTCCTCTCTCACAGACCTCCATGTTCCCTTTCAGTTGTCTAAACTTTCTTGAGAGGAGTTGGATGATTTTGGTGACCAGTGCAGTTTATTTATCCTCCAAAACGTTCCTTCTACCAACCTTCAGCCTTTGCCATTTGCACAGTTCCCTTATGCCATTGCCAACCCCTCCCTTTACTGCCTTCACCGTTCCGTTCCTTTCCGTTTTGGGAAATGGATTTCAAAACCAAATTATACATCTAATAAATAGCACGTTACAAATGGTAGCAACCAAGCTACATGGTGGTCTAGCAGAAACCACCCTTATTCCAATTGAATGCAAGCACCTCGTACCATGCTTGAACTGCCTTCCAGCTTGAGATGCCTCGTTATTGAGAGACACTCGTTGCTCTCATGCCTCCAACTTCACTCGTTGGACCTCTCACTGGGCCCTCACTGGGGTCATTGCCCTCTCATTGCCCTCCCATTGCCCTCTCATTGGGCTCTCACCGCCTCGTCCCGCGTCACAGCAGGCAGCTTGGAGTGCCACCTCCACGTGCACATCCTCCTCTCGGGGTCGTAGTGCCAGAACTTGTTCACCAGGAACCGGTTCTTCTTCGCATCCTTCCCCGCGATCCAGTTGTTATGCAAGATCGTGCACCCGTTCTTCAGGCAGTTCCCCAGCACATCCTCATGGTCCCAGTAGTTGTGCACCGCGCCATTCGGGTACACCTTCCTGTCCAGGAAGATGGTTCTCAGTCCGTTGTCCCACTTGCACTCCTCCTTCCCAGCCACTAGATTCTCCCCCTTCACTCCGCACAGGATATCGTAAAAGCTCGGCTGCTCGGACAGCTTCGTCGTGGCGGCATGCGCTGTGATCGCCTCAAACGCCTCGATGGTCTTCTTGTCCGATCGCGCAAAGTAGAACCCCGAGTTGATCCGCCGGATCCCCGTGCCTGGGATCGACCCGTTCGGCTCGTTGCTCTGGATCGGAAACGTCCCCGGGCCGTAGCTGAGGAGGTCAGGGAGAGGGTCGGAGAACCAGACGATGTCGACGTCGGTCCAGAGGACGGAGTAGCCCTGCTTGAGCACCTTGAGCACGGAGCGGGACTTGAGCTTGGTGAACTGACGGAAGCACTGGCTGCCGAACACACAGTCCTTGGAGTTGAGGCCCTGGTACCCCACGCTCACCTGGGAGGAGGGAAAGGAAGGGGGGGCGAGAGACAAACAAAGGGAAAAGGGGAGTTAGTGATTTGATGGGTAAGGCCATTCAGTGCGCGGATGGGGGGTGAGTAATTGTGTTGGCAGATGAAGAGGGTGGGTGCAGAACGGAGGAAGAAAGAAAGGAACGAAGCATGGAAAGCATGGAAAGCATGGTTCAACCGAGCTGGTCTGCCCCTCACCTGCTCATGGTACACGGCCAGCCCCTGCGAGAAGGCGAATCGGTACAAGTCCTCGTCGAGAGCCGCCACCACGAGGTTGTCTGCCAGGCCCAGCCCGCGCAGGCGACACACGAAGCTCATGAGCATCTCCGCGTACCCCATCGTCACGGCCACCAGGATCACCACCTTCAGCCCGCCCGCCTCGCGCGCCACCTGCGGAAGCAGCTGCGCCGCCGTGTGCGGCAGCCCCGCCGCGGATCCCGGGGTGGGAACGGCCTGGATCGAGTAATCCGACTTCTTATCGACGGACACGGCGCCGCAGGTCCACCGGCGGCCCGACGGGTCGATCTTCGGGTCGGACTGGGAGATGTCGACGAAGTTGGAGTACTCGCACTGGCACGTCGCGGGGCGGAGGCGGCGCTGCAGACACATGTTGTTCACGGAGGGCTCGAAGCAGGAGGACATCTTCCAGGGCACGTGGAGAGCCGTGCCGAGCTGGTTGGAGTAGGAGCCGTGGGTCTGCGCGAGATGGATATTGGCGAAAAGCTCCCAGCTGGACTTCTTTCGCGTGCTCCAGAAGTTTTTCCCCGCGAGCGCCGCGCCGTTCTTCGTCGCGTCGGACTCCGCCACGTGCGCGTAGGAATGCGCCACGTGGATGGATGTAACCGCGTCGCTCGCGTCGACGACTTCGCGAAGGCCGGATGCGACGATCTCGTGCGTGAACCAGTTGTCGTACTTGCCGCGCCCGAACGCGAACGGCGGCATGATCCCCGTGTGCAGCTGCACGGGGGAGTTGTTCCACACCCAGAAATCCACCCCGCCGTACGTGTGCAGCGACCCCTTCGCGCGCGCGTACTCCGCAATCTCCTTCTCGAGCGCGGCGGGCCCGCGCGCGCGCGCATTCGCCCACATAGAGGGGAAGAAGGTGTAGGGGAAGTCTTCCGCCACATCCCACCGCGCGGCGGTCATCACCCAGTGGGGGAACGTCTTGTGAACCTTTTTGATGGCATCGAGGGCGTTGTTAAGGAGAATGATATCGCCGTTGATGATCATCGACAGGTCCGTGTCCGCCGCCTGCGCGCGCGCCACGATGCTGTGGAACTGCGGGAGGCCGTAGTAGTTCGTATCTATGGCGGACTCGACGGACACCTGCTTGGGGAAGCGCCGCGCGAGCTCGTCGAACGTCGAGTCGTTCCCGAGGAGGACGATCTTGGGCGACGGCGTGAGGCGCAGCCAGGAGCGCAGCGCGCGCAGCTGGTTGTCCGGCTGGCGGTCCTTGGGATCAAGGATGGAGGAATAGGGCTTCGGCGCGCAGAAGATTGTGAGAGACGGCGCCGCTGTCGGCGCCGGGTCCTGCGGAGCAGGCGCTGCGCCGGTCAAGCTGCCGAAAATGCTGCTGAAGGAGCGGGCTTTCTTGGGCTTGCTGGCGGCGATCATTTCTGCTTCGGCCTGCTTCTGCTTCTTCGCGAAGGCGGAGGATTTTCCGGCTGGCGAAGACGACTTTGAGCTCTGCGAGTTGCGCTTGAATAGGGTAACCCGGCTTTGCTTCGCGACGAGGACGCCTTCCTCGTTCGTCGCGAATCCCGAGTACGAAAGGCGCTGCTCGCAGGAAACGAGCGACGCGGCGGAGATGAGGAGGAGAAGCGCTGCTGTGAGCGAGAATCTGGCGGGTGGCATTTGCCACTGCCGCACTATAGTCGACATGCTAGTAAATTAGAGATCTAACAAATTGCTAGAGAGCCTGAGTGCCTTTCTCTGCGAAACAAAACGATCGAGGGAAGTCGGCAGATTGAGTAAGTAGAGAAGACCTGCTCGAATGCTGAGAAACTGACGAGGCGGCGATCAAATTTGTACCAATTATGGGCGTATGGCTGGTGAGCGAGTCCCTAAAGCTGTTCCCTGGACCTTGGCTATTGAGTGGCTGTGATTGAGTGATGGTTGTGTCCACTGCTCCCCAATGTGCAAGTTTTGTACGTAGTCTATCGGGGGAGCAAGGTTCTACAGGTTAGGCTGGGCTAGGCTGGATCAGGCGACAACTGACTGATGAGCTCAGCAGGGGGGCTGCTGTGGTTGGCCGGTTGGTGGCTTGGGCCATTTGCCCAACATTGCGTGAGGAATACATGCGGCTCGGAGATCCAAATGTGCGACGCGGGAGAGTGAACACCCTGGTGAGCTGGCTCTGGAGCACCTGGTGGTTGGCGAGCGAGGTTGTGGATTCTAATGGCCGATCGACGGCTAAAATTTATGGATCCGCTGAATTTAGCGGCTGAGATCATGTCATCCAGCGCCTCGGAAAGTATGGAAACAGCAAGGCCATGCTTTTCGTAACATATGGCGACGTGTGTGCGACTGGTGGGTGTGGCTGTGACCGACACCTTTGACGACAGCGGAGAAAGGAGTTTGGAAATTGCACCGCTACCGCGTTCGCGAATCATTGAAGCCAGCTGCGCGAAACGGCGACTTCATTTCGCCAAAACGGACGATTGGGTAAACTGACGGCCAGGAATTTCCGCAGCTGTAGGTAATGACGGAGAGGATATTATCCCACATGGTTCCGCCAGGAGTGTGGCCAGCTCTCACTGTCAGGTGACGTGGGAGTGGGGACCTCGAGCAAACTGCCAGGGCGTAATGTGCTGGTGGTGATATCCGCACCAAGAAAGACTTCCTTACTGCTTTTCACCTGTTCGACCAAAGGCTTCAACTTACAAGTGCAACTCCTCCATTTGGTTATAATTAAAATTCATATATTGGTACCAACCAACCAACCAACCAACCACACAACCAGCCCCCCAAATTGCAGCCTTTTTACTCTAATTCAGACATTTTTCAGAGTTTTTTGGGGGGTGTACTCTTTTTCAAAGACCTTTTACACAGACCATTTTTCAGATTGTTGTACCTACACTGATTTTTCAGACCTTTTATCCTAGTGTACTCAAACGCGTCAACCCTACATGGGGGGGATGTTGAAAGAAGGACACTAGGAATTCATGGAATGGCACGAGGGTTTATCTAGGAGAAAGTTACGAGAGAAAAGATGTCGAGAATAGAAGAAAGGGATACAAGGAGGGGGGTTGTACCCTCTACAGTAGGTTTCAGTAACACCTACCAAGCCTACCAATTATATATCAAAGATATAATTTAACACACCCACTAGGCTTGGTAGCCGAAAGCACACCACGCACGGGACACTAAGCCACACACACCCCCTAAGTCTAGCACCCCCATACTCAGTAGCAGCGACGGCTACACCACCCCCCGGTCAACCCCTCGGCGCGTAAGGTGGCGATGTCGACAGCAAGGGCTGCGGCGGCAGCGTCAACAACGGCGGTGGCGGCGGCGTGCGGCGGCGTGGCTCCAACGCAAGCGGTGACATCGGCGGCTTCGACAACAGTGGCGGCGGCGGCGGCGGGGCTCGCAACACTCGGCGGCGCAGCTGGGCTCCGCGACGGTGGGACGGCCAGCGGGTGTCAGCCATCGACTGCGGCGAGGAAGAGGGGACGCAAGGAAGGGGGGGCGGGGCTTCTGCAACACGCCCGTGGCTGGCGTGCGGGCATCAGGACCGGCGGTGCATGAGACGTTACGCGGCCCGCTGCCGCCCATCGACGCCGCCACTGCAGCATAACGTCGCCTCCACAGCGCGGCGTCGATGCCGCGGCGGTACGTCGACGCTGCGACGGCGGATCGACACCGTCGTCGCGGTGTCGCGTCGACGGCACGCGTCGGGGTTGCGACGGCAGCACCTCGACGCCATCACTGCAGCGCGGCAAGGCCACGACGGCGGCACGAAAGTAGCGGAAATGACAATACGCGGCGGAAGCGTGGGGAGCAGGCCCCGGAAGGGCAACCTGCTCTGTTACCATGTTGAACGAAGGACACTAGGAAGCCATGGAATGGCACGAGGGTTTAGCTAGGAGAAAGTTATGAGAGAAAAGAGGTCGAGAATAAAAGAGAGAGGGATACAAGGAGGGGGGTTGTACCCTCTACAGTAGGTTTCAGTAATACGTACCAAGCCTACCAATTATATATCAAAGATGAAATTTAACAGGGGAGACTCTAATTCTGTCTAATACCGGTACCGTGATTGGGGGGAGTGTAATTTGCGCTGGTACCCCTTCGGAGGGCGCTGGTTAACCCTTAGCCAAAAACAAGGCGCGATGCTTGCTTGTTGTGAGGGCACTACTTGTCGTGGCATTGTCATAACCTTCTCGATCCTCTCTCTATCTCTAGGGAACGTACTGGGGAGGCTTTCCTCGGGGAAGGTGGATATATGGAGCCTAATTGTCACAGAATCGAATGTGTCGAAGAAAGATTGCACTATCGATTGATAGAAGGCGCTTTTATACTTCCATAATACATCAGGTAACCAGGTTTATCATATCCACGGGAATAGACCCTTCTAGAAAATAGAATCACCCTGCGTATAGCCACGCGAGGCTATTGGATTTAAGGGATTACGACGAGATTACGCTGAATATAGCCCGCCAGTACTTCCCGAGCCTGGTCGTTGATATAATTATAATAACAAAATAAACCAAAGGATAATGGAAAGTGGAGAATAGGAAACCAAAGAAGATGGGATAAAAAGAGAGATGAAATAGAAAGGAAATAGGGAAAGGGACAAGTGGTGTAACGGGATCGTACTCTCACACTTCCCCCCCTCAAAGCTGGGTGGTAGAAGTAACATCCTGCTTGACAAGGTAGTCATGAAGAGGACGACGGGCATTACCCATGTCGGTCTCAGGTACCCAGCTGTCCTCAGAAGGATCATAAGCCTTCCAACGAATGAGAAGCTCCACGGCGCCATTCCGACGATGGCGGTGTCCAAGCACGGACTCCACATCGTACTCGGGTTCATTCTGGACGAGGACGGGCGGCGGTTGGCGTCCGACGAAGATCGTGTTCGGATCCCGATAGGGCTTCAGAAGTTGGACATGGAAGGCGTTGTGAATCTTCCAGGTAGCTGGCAGGCGTAAGCGGACAGTAACAGGACTGACCTGTGCTTCAACGAGGAAAGGCTTGCAGAAGTGAGGTCGAAGTTTAGATGGGAGATGGCTGATGTCAAGGTTGCGGGTGTCGAGGAGCACCTAGTTTCCCATGGTAATGGGGTGATCGTTGCGATGGCGACCGGCATGGCGCTTCTGTTGCTGTTGGATGTCGAGGAGGCACTTCTGGGTCCGATCCCAAAGCTGATGCATGGTTGTGATGAAATCGTGTGCAGGTTGTACTGTAGCTGATGTTGTCGGTTTCCGTGGTGTGAGTGGGTGGCGTCCGTAGCAGAGGAAGAACGGTGTCTGTCAAGTAGCGGCATGAGTAGCGTTGTTGTAGGCAAACTCGAGAACGGGCAGCTGTAAGTCCCATTTGGAAATCTCGTCCTTGCAGGCTGCTCGGAGGAGTTGCTCGACGATCTGGTTGAGGCGCTCGGTCTGTCCGTCTGTCTGCGGATGGTAGGCGGATGACATGGCGAGTTTGGTCCCGAGCAGAGACATCAGTTCCTGCCAGAACTTGCTGGTGAACTTGGGGTCTCGGTTGGAGATGAGTGTGGTTGGAATGCCATGTTGTGAGATGGTGTAGCGAACGAAGAGTTGTGCTATTTCTTCGGTGCGTGCTATCGTGTGTGTCGGGATGAAGTGTCCCATTTTGGAGAATTTGTCGATGACGACAAGGATGGCGTCATGACCGCTGGTGGTAGGTGGTAACACGGTGATAAAATCCAGGCTAACCACTTGCCATGGTTGTTCTATGACAGGAAGAGGCTGCAGTAGTCCTGCCTTCTTCTGCTTGCTGCTCTTCATCCGTTGACATGTATCACATGAGGTGACAAATTTCTGAACATCTTCTGCCAAGTGGGGCCAGTAGTAGTGCTTTGCAATACCGATCAGTGTCTTATTGCTACCAAAGTGTCCTGCGTATAGGACATCGTGGTATTCTTCGAGTAGTAACTCGCACAAAGGAGGGTAATTAGGTACCCAGATTGTTGTTGATCCTTTCCGATACGCGATGTCACTGTCCCACTGTAGCAGGTGTCGCTTCTCTACCAAGGGAATTTCGGGGTCGATGGTGTACCCGTGTGTGAAGACTCCCTTGATTAGTGGATTCATCCCCTCAACCTGGAGAGCGGCGACGTGTGCAGGCTGGCTAAGAGCGTCTGCTTTGTTTTTGTGGCCGGGCTTGTACACGATGTCGTAGTGGAAGTGTGTCTCAAGGAAGTCAATCCACCGGACCTGCCGCCTGGAAAGGTTTGGTTGTGTCTTCAAATATTTCAGGCAGCAGTGGTCGGTGTAGACAGTTGTTTTTCGTCATTCGAGATAACATCTCCATGCTTTGAAGGTGATCACGATAGCAAGGGCCTCTTTGTCGTGTATCGGGTAGTTTAGTTCTGCCCTATGTAGTTTTTTACTAAGGTAGGTGATTGGTTGCAGTCCATTCCCCTGGTCTTGCATCAAGACTGCTCCCACTGCCTGGTCACTGGCATCAACTTCGATGATGTAGTCGCGTTCGGGATCTGGCAAGATGAGTACTGGTGCGGACGTGAGTGCTTGTTTCAGCTGCTCCACGGCTTCCTGATGCTTCAGCTCCCATTTATAGGGCGTGTTCTTTTTTAGCAGATTCGTAAGTGGTGCTGCGATTTTTGCGTAGTGTGGCACGAACCTGTTGTAATAATTAGCGAAGCCTAGGAACTGCTGCAACTCCTTCACGTTCTCTGGTGTCTTCCACGTGCGTACGGCTTCGATTTTCTTGGGGTCAGCGTGAAATCCTTGAGCACTCACCGTGTGTCCTAGGAATTGGACTTTCTTGAGGGCGAATTCGCTCTTGGACGGTTTGATGTAGAATCGTTCTCGTCGAAGAATCTCGAAGACGCGTCGCAGGTGTTTGACGTGCTGTTTCAAGTCGCGTGAGTAGATGAGGATGTCGTCCAGGTACACCACCACGCATTCGTCCAAAAGTGGCCGTTGGATATGATTCATTTCGGCTTGGAACGTTGCCGGTGCGTTGGTGAGTCCGAACGGCATTACCAAGTACTCGTACAATCCGTACCGAGTTCGGAAGGCAGTTTTATGGATGGAGTTATCCGCCATTCGTATCTGCCAGTATTCGGACCGCAGATCTAGTTTGGAAAATACCGTAGCTCCCCGAAGCTGGTCAAGCAGGTCATCGATGCGTGGTATCGAATATTTATTCTTAATGGTCTGCTTGTTGATTGCCCGGTAATCGATGCACATGCGCAGGCTTCCGTCCGGTTTCGGGGTGAAGAGCACTGGGGCACCATATGGTGAAGTGGATGGTCGGATGAGCCCTTTGGCTAGGAGATACTTGATCTGTTTTTTCATGTCGGTCAGCTCTGTAGGGCTGAGCCGATATGGTGCTCGAAAGGTCAGCTTCGAAACAGGTTCCTCCACGAACACGTGTTGATGCGTTCGGTATGGCGGTAGCTCGTTTGGAAGATCGTCGGGAAGGACGTCCTGGAACTCCTTCAGTAACTCTTTGATTTTTTGTGGAGGTTCCGTTTTTTCCTCTCCGTCATTTTCCACTATGGTTGCTATCGCCAGGAACCTGATGTCGGTTCGCTTCACGTCCTTCTCGAATCGTGCGAGTGTCTCCACTGGGATATCTCCTATATCGTCCCAGTTAGGTAGCTGTAATCTCCTTCCATTGTTGTAGATACTTGCGGTACGGTTCACCCAGTTGATCTCAGGGTTGAATCTTTTTAGGAAGTCTCGCCCGAAGATCAAGTCAAGCCCTTTGATGTTGGTGATGGGGAGTGCAGGTCTCCAGCGCAGTGGTCCAATTTGTAGGTGTAATACTGCTTCGGCGTGTACTGGTAACTTGCTTCCATCCACCATCATTGCAGAGAATCCTGAAGGCTTGTACTCTTCCCGAAGTCGGTCGATTACTGCCTTGTCGCAGACGGTGTGCGATGCTCCGCTGTCCACGAGTGCTTGGAGGCGTCGTCCTTTGCAGATGACCTCGAGCACGAGGGGCGGTCGTCGCTCGAAGTACCCAAAGATAGTTTCATTAATAGGGTCATAGGGCACATCCCAATATTCCGTACACACCTTTTCGTTGCTATCTACTCCAGAGCTGGCAGCTGGCCGAGGCTGCTTGGAGAACGGCTCTTCTCCAGGGCCCGGAGATTCTTTGACGACTGTGCGCGTCATTGATGCCGAAGTTGCTGAACTGGATGCATCCAGAGGAGGAGTTCGGGGTTTTTGCAGCTTCTTGTAGACCCCCAGCTTCCTCTTGAGCTGCTTCAGCTCCACTGTCGTCTTCCCTGGAGAACGGGTAGTCGTTGTGGGCTGGTGTCCGGAGAGGACGTTGACTCCGTGGAAAGGTCGGCTTCTTTCCACACTCCTTAATTTTTTCCCCAAGTTGTCCGGTACCGGTATAATCTCTACAGCTTTCTGCTTCTTCTGGAGTCCCTCCCGAATTTTCTCCAAGGCTCTAGCCCCTCGAGAATCATAATTTTTCATTAAAGCATCTTTGTAGGATAACTTTAACGAATCCTTATAATTTCTTGGGTCTTCAAGGAGTTTCCCCGTCTCGGCAGAGTCTTTTTACGCGGAGTCGGATTTTTTCTCGGCGATTTTCCCTGGCGAAGACTGGTCGTAGGGTGGAGATTTCCCCCCATCATTTCCTCCTGCTCGCGTCGAATCAGCTTCGTCGAAGTTGATTTTTATGGAATCCCGCGACCGCTTCTATATCTTTTCTTTTTCGCCAGCTAGATCCGCAATCACTCGCGACTCCCGTTTTTTGTCTTCTGATCGGCCGAAGGATTTCCGCCACTGTTGCGTGCCTGATACTCTGCGCGTGCGGCTTTCATTTTGCTGCAGTCGAAGATTCGATGGCCAGGCACCCAGCAAAAATCACACGTATAGTTGGTGTTCTTCGGACGTGGCCGCCCGTCAAACCTGTCGATTTCCATCGGGTCGGCGAACGTGGTGTGAGCCGAGCAGTCGCCCTGTCGCATACTGCCGACGTGCGCCCGTCGTGTCCCGGCGTTGACCATGTCGAAGCACTGTAGCTCGCGTAGTTTGATGCTGCTACCTGTCGTTTAACTTCAATCTTCAGCCCAGCGAGATAAGACTGTACTTTTTCCCCTTCGGTTAGGTCGGGAATGCGGTTATAAAATTCTTCCATCTGCTGCGTGTACTGTGCTACACTCGTGAACTGTCGATGTCGATGATTTTTTCCTGGGCAAGGAAACCTGAATTAATTGGCTCGAAGCGTTTCAGAAGGTCGGTGCGGAACTGCTGCCACGTGGCTTCACCGTGGATGAAGGTGCTGTTGCCGCCGATCCACTCGAGTGCCGGCCCTCGCATGAGTGTCGCCGCGAGTCGTACGGGTTGTCCGTCCCAGACCGGCGAGCTCCATCCGACGGCTGCGAAGTAGATCTCCATCCCGGCGATCCATCTGCGTGCTTCGGATTTTCGATCGCTCAGATCGAACGGCTCAGGTGGGCGCGATTTTGGAGCCTCGAGAAACTGTTGCAACTGCTGCGTCGTCGACGTTGTCGAGTCGTGCTGCGCTCCGGTGAGTCAAGTTACTCGCTCGAACTCGTTTCGGCACGCTTCGTAATCCGCTCGCATCTCCTCCTGAAGGGTTGGGGGGGGGGGGGGTAATTTACAAAACGCGGAGCTGGTGCTTACCAGAATCGGCGCCGAATTCATCACCCCCGGCGGTTTTTCGAGGCAGGTTTTCCCGCTGCTGCTGCTTTGTTGAGCGCGGCCGAGTGAGAAAAGCTCTGATTACCAAGTGTCACAGGATCGAATGCGTCGAAGAAAGATTGCACTATCGATTGATACAAGGTGCTTTTATACTTCCATAATACATCAGGTAACCAGGTTTATCATATCCACGGGAATAGACCCTTCTAGAAAATAGAATCACCCTGCGTATAGCCACGCGATGCTATTGGCTTTAAGGGATTACGGCAGGATTACGCTGGATATAGCGCGCCAGTACATCCCGAGCCTGGTCGGTGATATAATTATAATAACAAAATAAACCAAAGGATAATGGAAAATGGAGAATAGGAAACCAAAGAAGATGGGATAAAAAGAGAGATGAAATAGAAAGGAAATAGGGAAAGGGACAAGTGGTGTAACGGGATCGTACTCTCACACTAACCCTCCTGATGACATCCATTATTGTCCCAGTGGTTAGGACTGGTGACTTTATAACTTGGTATTAGAGCCATCCGAGGTTCAATTCTTGGTGTAGACGCCATCCTAGCGAGGGGGTGTATCGTGGCACCGGGATAACCCTGTCAATCCCCTCTCTATCTCTAGGGAGGGAACTGGGGAGGCTTTCCTCGGGGAAGGTGGATATATGGAGCTTAACCCTCGTGATGACATCCCTTCTTGTCCCAGTGGTTAGGACTAGTGACTTTATGACTCTTCTGGCCCTTCACCAAAATCAAAGGGCAGTGAGTAGGAGGTGGGTGGGAGCTGTGGGATTGAGGTAGCTGACTGGACCTTCACAAAAATCAACACCCAGTTTGTGCTGTGGCGGTCTGAGGGGCCGATTGGCCCTTCACAAAAAAGGTATGATTGCTGGGGGCGTGATGTGTGTTGCGGTTTGTGTGTGCGAGTACGCCCATTGGCCCTTTACGAGACTGCCACCTGGATGGCACTGATTTCCCCTGCAATTTGGATTTGCCCCCCTTTCTGCCCCATCCCACATTGGTTCCCCACACACAATTCGCCACGAACCAATATCTTCTCCACCCACCAACCGATTTCGTCGCCCAAGCTGTATCAAAGTTAACGTAATGACTAGAACAATGACATACAAGGGAATATAACCTAGTGGATTGTACTCCCTAAGGCACAACCCTATATAGTCTATAATAATATACAAAGGTATGTTTGGCACACCCCCTAGTATGGATAGGGGCAGTGCCTGGTGAGAGACAAGCAGCTGTTGCTGCGGCTGCTTCTGCTGCTGGTCAAGTGACGGCGCCTGCTGCTGCTGCTGAGGCTGCTGCTCCGAGGCACCAGCCCCAGCCCCCTCGTCAATTCTACCAGCGGGCCAGCCACCTCCACCACTGCCTCCACCCCCCCCTCCGCTACCGCCGCTGCGCCCAGCCTTGGGGCAGCGTCCCTTACCCGGACGAAACTGCACTGCGGCGGCTGTCTACACAGCAGGAGCTGTCTCAGCGACAACAGCAGAACCGTCAGAGTAAGTGCACTGAGCGGGGGCACAGCCCTGAAAGATAGAGACCGGCATGGTATCGCTAGACTGGGCGATAGAGCGCTGGCAAGTCTCTACGACAGACAGGGTGTCGACAAAGTCAGTGAGGGTGAGTTCAGCGGGGTGGAGACTAGGGAAGTGATCGCGGGCGGTGGCAAGGCGGTCAGGGAGGCGGGTGGCAAGCAAGTAGAGGGTAGAGTAGATGGGGGGCTGAAACACACGAAGCTGGGCCTTAGTGCAGGCAGCACGCCATGTCGTGTCTAGCATGCACAGGCGGGCGGGCAGGTCAGCGACAGTAGGGAAAGACGCGAGATCAGGAAAGAGCATGGGCAGGATCAGGCGACCGACAGAGGCAGAGGGCGGGGTGGAATAGCGCGCGACAACAGCCTCTAGGATCTCCTGCACAGTCCTGATCGACCTAAAGCGGGGGCGCTCGGACAGGGGGAGGGCATGACTAATCGCAAGCTGTGCGACAGCGTCACGCGACAACCAGACAGTGGGGGCAAGGGCAGCAGCGGCAGCGGACTCATGGTCAGCAGACGTGGGGTCAGCGGGTAGAGCGGCAGGGGGGTCCGGGCAGGGGAGCGTACCGTCGATGTGGACGGCCAGGGAGTGGCTGTCCTGCCGCTGACCAGTCAGGTGGTGGCGGAGGTCGACGAGCCACGAGTCGAACTCAACCGGCTGCCCCTCCGCATCGAAACGCATGACCGAGACCGCCATGATGGTCGCTGCAGCAGCAGAAAGGCGGTACTGGGCGACCGGGTGCGGCGGGAAGCAGTGATGTTCGGTGCAGTGTTGTAGAGTGCGGTATACGGAGGTGCAGTACGGTAGGGTGCGGTGCAGTGCAATGTAGTACGGTGCGGTACCAGGCGCACGTCTTGGAGACGGAGCCGCGGGCGGCGAGGCGACAGGGCCGGCTAGGCGGGGAGGTGACGCGGCCGGCTAGGCTACGGGGCCGGCTGTGCACCAGGGCCGGCTAGGCGACGGGGCCGGCTAGATGACGGGGCCAGCTAGGGGACGGGGCCGGTCGGGCGACGGGGCCGGCTAGGCGACGGGGCCGGCTGGGCGACGGGGCCGACGAGGCGACGGGGTCGGCTAGGAGGCGGGGCCGGCTAGGAGGCAGGGCCGGCTGGGCTACAAGGCCGGCGAGGTGACGGGGCCGGCTGGCGACGGAGCCGGCCAGGCGACGGGGCCGGCTAGGCAGCGGGGCCGACTAGGAGGCGGGGTCGGCTAGGAGGCGGGGCCGGCCGGGCTACGGGGCCGGCTAGGCGACAGGGCCAGCTAGGCGACGGGGCCGATTGGGCGACGGGGCGTGCTAGGCGACGGGGTCAGCTAGGAGGCGGGGGCGGCTAGGAGGCGGGGCCGGCTGGGCGACGGGGCCTGCTAGGCAACGGGGTCGGCTAGGAGGCAGGGCCGGCTGGGAGGCGGGGCCGGCTTGGAGGCGGGGCCAGCTAGGGGACAGGGCAGGCTGGGCTACGGGGCCAGCTAGGCGACAGGGCCGGCTAGGCGACGGGGCTGGCTAGGAGACGGGCCAGCACGTGCGGGAGGGGACCGGGGTGGCTAGAACCTAGGGAGGAAGCGCTGGTGGGCAGGGGGACCTAACCTACTCATGATACCACATCAAAGTTAACGAAATGACTAGAACAATGACATACAAGGGAATATAACCTAGTGGGTTGTATTCCCTAAGGCACAACCCTATATAGTCTATGACAACATACAAAGGTATGTTTGACAGCTGGCACGTGAAAATATTAAACGGGGGCTGGGTCTGGGCATGCCCGAGAAGTTTGAGGGCAGTAGGAAATGGAAATCAGCGTTAATTTCCTGGGTGACTCTGATTGATCAGACAAAGAATCTCTCGTCACTCTGTTTTTTCTTAGTACTTTTTCTTAGGGGCAACTCTGACGGCCATACCAAGGTACGGGAGGAAAGTCTGATGAATCAGACAACCCCAAAACCAATTTGGGGGCCTGCACACAACCATCAAGTGTTTCTACCAAATGCTTCATGAGTAGAACGATATACTGTGTTTTCATATGTTTAATTACTTTCCTCGTTTTCGCGACCCTCCTTGCCGTTGCCTTTCCCCCGCATTTGCCGCATTCATCCCTCGCCCAGCTCCTCTTTGCTCATCTTGTCTATCTCCCCTCATTCCCCTTGTTTCCCGTCTCCCTCCACCACGCTCTCGTCCTCCACCCATCCCTCTTCTCCTTCTTGCCTCACGCTCCCTATCCTTCTTTGCCATGGCATCTTCTCGAGCCAATTTCGTGAGGCTGGGCCTATAGAGCAGCGCAGTGCGGCCAATCAGGCCCACCACCTGCGCTGCTAGTTTCTCTTCCAGAACCTGCCCCACCTCCCAAGCCTCATCCGGGCAGTTGTCAGAAATCTTTATCTGAAACAGCACAAGGAAAATGGGTGAGGAAGCAGAGAGAAACATAAGTGACCAATGCACAAGACTGCAAACTAGGGCTAAAAACAAAGGGCTCCGTGCGTGTTCAAGACTGGCAACCTCCCACCTTGAGCAATTCATGCTTCTCCAGGCCGTCATGCAATGACGTGATGACGGTTGACGTCACACCCCACTTGCCGATCTGCAAGCGATCAATCACCCCATCACAGCCCAGGGCAAATACAGGAGCAGATGCACGCAAGTCAAGAGCAGCAAGGGCATTTTGACAGCTGGCCAGGGACATTGGCAGCTCCCACATGAGGCAGCTTCCATGGCAACAGCGCCAGAAACTGCTGTGATTCTACCTACTTCTGTAACCTGTTCTAACTGCTGTGCTTCTAGGCTCTAAAGTGACCCTGCGGTGGCCTCATACTGACTCCCAGGCGCTGGTTTTCACAAATCCTGCAAAACCCCAGCCGTCCAGAGACCCTCAGGTTGCAAGAGACCATAAACCCCGGTTCTTAAACCCCGCCTTCCAATGACATTCACACATCCCTGAGCCCCAACGCCCCCTTCCTGCCTCCACCAGTCAAACCTCCGCAAAACCCCCAACCCTTAAGACAACACAAGCACGATGGCAGCAGCAGCATGTGGGGAGGTCTCGCGTGGGGGAGGTCTCACCTGGTGCGTGCTTATCCGGTTGCCCATGCGGTGCGCATACGCGCGCAGCTCCTTCCGCTCCGCGTTCCCCAGCTTCCCCCCCAGCGGCCCTGCGGGAGATGATCCACCCTCTCCCCCTGGTGACAACCCTCCCCCGCCCTCCACTGACGAAAGCGAGCTGCTGATGCTGCTGCCGTACGCGTTACTGGTGCTGCTCTTATCGATTCTGCCTGCCGCCTCCTCCAGCCACGCATCGTCGCCGTCCGTTGCGTCTTTCTCCAGCCAATCCTCATCGTCGCCCTCGTCGAACCCGTCGATCGCATCCTCGTTACTGAGTCGCCTCGATAACGAAAGATCATCTGTCTCTTCTGCCAACCCTGCCTTCGCTGTCCTGCTACTCGGTTCTCGAGTCGATCTCGCCTCGAAGGTAAGTCTCGCGCGCGAATAGCCACCACGCGCCCAGCCGTCGCACGGAAGCGCGACGGTAAGGAAGCGCTCCTCCGAGCGCGCGCCTGTCACGCGTAGTGCGGTCGCGCTAGAACGCCCTGCGCTGCCGCTGCTGCTCGTATTTGCAAGCATCGCGCTACAGATGCCCGTTTTGGCGCTAACCTCCCCAGAGCTACCGGTGCAACTCGGCGCAGCCGAGGTCCAAGACGCAGACGCTGTTAGTCGCGATGACGCTGCTACGGCCGCCATAGTTTTGGCTCGCTCGCGCGAGTCGGATGGGAAATGGCGAGACGGAGGGAGTCGAAATGGGTGAAGCGGGACAGGAGAGGAGCGAACCCGTTATAAGGAGGGCATTTGATTTTGTAGATTATCGGTGAGAGGGCTTACTATCTGTTGTGCACGGCCCGCATAAAACGACCAACTAGACCCTATTCAGCTTCATTGATTTGACATGCATTTACAATTTTGTATTCTTTGGCATGGGCCATAGCAATCACAACAATCCTTGGAAATGATTTAAACGACTTATAGTAATGCATTTACAAGCAAGTGAAAGCTCACTTAAGCAATTGGAGAACTAGAAGCAAGGCTCACTCACACACGTAGGTCCACTCAAGACCAATGAAAGGAAGGCATCACCACACCCTACCACACCATGAGATGAGACCCCAGATATCCTGAATCCCCTTTCACAGCTAACTCGCATACTCTTTATAACTCTAACAGGGTAATGCTCAGAGTGCCCGATGGATGGTTTGTCGCCTGCAGACTTCCCTGAGGCGGTTGAGCAGCTTCTCCGGTGTCAGCGGCTTGCTCAGGAACTCGTCAAAACCCTTTTGCGCGCACTTCACCATGTACCCGTCTGGAGGGGGGGGGGGGGGTTTGGGGGGGAGGGAGAAGGGAACAGAGATGGGGGGGGGGGGAGAGAGGGGCCTCTCTGAGTCGGTTGAGCAGCTCCTCTGGCGTCAGCGGCTTGCTCAGGAACTCGTCAAAGCCTTTCTGGGTGCACTCCACCATGTACCCGACAAGGGAGCTAGGGGTGGGTTCAAAGCAGAGAGCTTGGAAGGGTACAGAAATTGGGAGGGAGGTTGGGGGGGGAGGGGAAGGGGTAAAGGAAGGGGTTGCTCCAGAACCGCGCTCACTGGAAGAATGTCCGACGATTTGCTCGAGAACTCATCAAAGCCCTTCTAGGCACACTTCACCACGTAGCCATCTGGGGAGGAGGGGAAAGGGAACAGATATGGGATGGGAAGAGAGATCGGGGGAAGGGGATTCGGGTCAGATCCATCTGCACCACCAGGTCAAACTGCTCATGGGTCAAATTGCGCATTCCGATCTCACACATAGGTGTTTTGAGGCGCCGAAACGGGAATTCTCTCACCTGGCACATTGGCCGTCACAGCAAAGATCAGAGTGGCCTGCTGTCTGGGTTCCGCCAGCTCCTCCCACTCGCGGAACTGCTCCACGGCCTTGATGCCATCCATCCCATCCATCACCGCCACGTTCAGATCCATGCAGGGGTGCTCTCATGTGCCGAAAAATGCTCTCACCTGAGACATTAGCAGTGACTGCGAATATCAGAGTGGCCTGCCGTCTGGGTTCAGCCAGCTCCTCCCACTCCCTGAACTGCTCCACCGCCTTGATGCCATCCATCACCGGCATGTTCAGATCCATCAGCACCAGGTCAAACTGCGGCGGCACCTCCGCGCCGTCCTGCGCGCCCCCTGCGGCTTCTAGAGCCGCCTCCTGCGCCTGCAGCTCGGGGTCCGTGCCCCCGCGCATGAGGTCCAGGGCGTCACGGCCGTTGCGCGTGAGGGTGACTCGACAGGAGAGGGTTTCCAGCAGTTGCCGGCTGATGGTGCAGTTGACTATGTCGTCCTCCACTACCAGCACCTGGGGGAATCGGGGGAAGGGAGTGAGGGAGAGGGAGCGACGGAGAAGAAAGAGAGTGTAGAGCAGCGGCTGGCAAATGATGGCGCAGTTGACGATGTTGCCTTCGACTGCCAGCACTGAATGGATGGGCAAGTTGACGATGTTGCCTTCGACTGCCAGCACTGAATGGATGGGCAAGTTGACGATGTTGACACGGGACACAGGGGAGACTGGCAGATGGCCGGAAGAATGGGGGGGGACAGGGACCAGTTGTAGTTTTGAGGCGCCTCAAAACAAGGCCGGAAGAAAGGGGGGAAGAAAGGGGGAAAGAAAGGGGGGAAGAAAGGGGGGGAGAAGGGGGAAGAAAGGGGGGAAGAAAGGGGGGAAGAAAGGGGGGAAGAAAGGGGGGAAGAAAGGGGGGAAGAAAGGGGGGAAGACAGGGGGGAAGAAAGGGGGGAAGAAAGGGGGGAAGAAAGGGGGGAAGAAAGGGGGGAAGACAGGGGGGAAGAAAGGGGGGAAGAAGGGGGAAGAAAGGGGGGAAGAAAGGGGGGAAGACAGGGGGAAGAAAGGGGGGAAGAAAGGGGGGAAGACAGGGGGGAAGAAAGGGGGGAAGACAGGGGGGAAGAAAGGGGGGAAGAAAGGGGGGAAGAAAGGGGGGAAGAAGGGGGAAGAAGGGGGGAAGAAGGGGGAAGGGGGGGAAGGGGGGAGAAGGGGGGAAGAAAGGGGGAAGACAGGGGGAAGAAAGGGGGAAGACAGGGGGGAAGAAAGGGGGAAGAAAGGGGGGAAGAAAGGGGGGAAGAAAGGGGGGAAGAAAGGGGGGAAGAAAGGGGGGAAGAAAGGGGGGAAGAAAGGGGGAAGAAAGGGGGGAAGAAAGGGGGGAAGAAAGGGGGGAAGAAAGGGGGAGACAGGGACCCCAAGAACCCCCGGAACAACTGCTAGCACACCTGCCCCCAGCCCAGCACCGCAAAGCACCCACCTTGAACCCCCAAATCAGCTCCCCATCTTCCCCTGGCAGCGACTCCAGGAACGCCCCCCCCCCCACCCCCCACCCCCCCCGTGAACACACCTTGAGCCAGGCGACTTTGAGCCGATTGAACAGCGCCCTTGCACCCACCTTGAACCCGCGGATGAGCTTCTTGCCCTCCTCTGGCAGCGACTCCAGGAACGCCGACCCCCCTGTGAACGACTTGGCTCCTCCCGCTGCTCCCATCAGGTTGGCCGCTGAGAGGCAGCGGGCTCCATGGCTTCGACACTGCCAGCACACCCCCACCAACCCAGCAAGGCAAAGCACTCACCTTGAACCCGCGAATCAGCTTCTTGTCCTCTTCTGGCAGGGATTCCAAAAACGCCGACCCCCCAGTAAATGACTTGGCTCCTCTCGCTGCCCCCATCGGGTTGGCCGCTGTGAGAGGCAGGGGGCTCCACGGCTTCGACACCGTCAGCACACCGCCCCCTGCGCCCCCTCCTGCCCCCCCTCCTGCCCCTGCTCCTCGCTCCCCCCCTCCCGCACCTCCGCCCCCACCTCCTCTTTCGAGGCCTCTGTCCCCCCCTCGGGGCGATAAAGAGAGGTCCATCCCCGCTGTAGAGCCACTCGCTTCAAGAAATAGGGTCTTTGTGGGGCCTCCAGCGCTCCCCCCTCGGCTTAACACTCCCCTCTCTCCCCTCTCGCCCTTTTCTCCTCTCTCTCCCGTCTCCCCGCGATCGCCCTTTTCTGCTGAGTTAATCCCTCCCCCATCACCCCCTCCTCCTCTGCCCCCTTTTAGTCGGTCGTGCGACTTGGGCACGCTTCGCGAACGATTGTACTGGCTGGGATCCGGCACGGGCAGGTGAAAAAGTTCCTCCCGCGAGACTTTTGAAGCAGTTGCTGCCCTTTTGTACACGGGGGCGTGTACGCTCCTATCCACAACGCTCCCACCATCCTCCTCCTCCTCGTCGTCCTCCTCCTCTTCCTCCTCTTCCTCCTCTCCCTCCTCTCCCTCCTCCTCCTCGTCATCATCGTCATCATCTAACACTTTCCTAAGCGTCGCTGCTGTAGGCCCGTCAAGCACCGAACCAACCCCCGAACCAGCACCCGAGCCTGCCTTCTGCTTCACCTTTTGCCCCGTATCAAAAAACGATCCCGACCCTCCCCTGCACCCCCCCTCCCCTCCACTCCTCTCCCATCCATAGCCCTCCCCTCCATCCCTCCACTCCCCCCTAAAGCCCGGTCCAGCACTGCAGCACGCCGAGCGGCAGCAACAGAGGCAGAGGAGGAGGAAGCAGCAGAGGCACCTATGGCTGATAGCCCCTTGCTCATACCCATGCCCATGCCCATGCCCATGCCTAGGCGAGTGGAGGGCCCGTGTGATGCTGCTGCTGCTGCTGATGCTGCTGAAGCCTGCCTCTCCATCTCCACCCGCATCTTGACTATCTGCTGCACCTCCTCGTTGGAATCCAAACTGCTGGCAGGAGGGTGGGAGGGTGGGAGGGTGGGAGGGGGTGAGGAGGTGGGAGAGGAGAGCGGAAGGAGGGGGGGGAAGGTGGATGCCTGGTGTGCTGCTGATGCTGCTGCTACCACACACAGCACAGCACAGTACCGTACCTGTTCTACCGTACCTGTTCTACCGTACCTCTTCTACCGTACCTCTTCTACTGTACCTGTTCTGCTGGCTCGACTCTTTCGACAGCCCGTCCATTTCATTGGCGAACTCCCCCGGGAGCCACCGGCTGTTGAGCAACCTTCACGCAAAAAAAAGCACCAGATGCTATCGTACCTGTTCTGCTGGCTTGATTCCTTGGACCTCTCATCCATGTCGCTAGCAAATTCCCCAGGGAGCCACCGGCTGTTGAGCAGCCGCCGTGCATATGCACTTAAGGACAAGCACCACACGCTACCATACCTGTTCTATCGTACCTGTTCTATCGTACCTGTTCTACCGTACCTGTTCTACCGTACCTGTTCTATCGTACCTGTTCTGCTGGCTTGATTCCTTTGACAGCCCGTCCATTTCGTTGCCGAACTCCCCAGGGAGCCACCGGCTGTTGAGCAGCCTTCGCGCATAGGCGCCCTTCTCCTCATTGCCCTCCTTCACCGTCCCCAGGTGCTGGCCCCACGCCTTCTCCCCCTTCCTCCCCCCCACGCCCTCCCCTCCACTCCCCCCTCCTCCCCCTCCCCCTCCCGCTCCCCCCCCTCCCCCTGCTCCGCCCCCTCCGCCCCCTCCCCCTCCCCCCCCAACCCAGCTCTTTCCCGGCCCTCTCCCAGCCAAGTCAAGCCTCATGCTCTCTAGTTTCCGCCTGAAATCGTCCATCTCAGTGGGCGTGCGGAAGGGCAGAGAGGAAAATGCGGACAGCAGTTCTGCCCCTTCCCCACCCTCACCCACCCCAAGCCCCCCCCCCCTCCTCCTCCCCCTAACCCCTTCCCGCTGCTGCCTAATCCACTGCTGCCACCACCACCACCCCCTCCCCCTCCCCCTCCCCCTCCCCCTCCTCCTCCCCCTCCCCCGCCCCCGCCCACCATGCCGGTTGCGGCGCCGCTGCTGCTATTAGGCCGGCGGCGCAGAGAGGCATCCATGTCTTTAATATCCAGTCCTAAACCCAAGCCCATGCCCACCCTGTGCAGGCTGTCCTTAGACGTCTCTAACCCTAGCCCCATATGGAGCCGAGTGAGAGGAGAAATATCCCTATCCCTGTCCCTATCCCTATCTCTTTCCCTGTCCCTGTCCCTGTCTCGAGCGCGAGTTAGAGATAAACTGTTGATTATACTACCACCACTGCCACCACCCACACCCACACCCCCGGACCCCCCTAGGTCATCAGCAATCAGACCCCCGCCGCCCAGCCCGCCGGTACTTAAACTCCCACCGCCCAGGCTGCCGCCACTTAAAGCACCGCCACTTAAAGCGCCCCCACTTAAGCCGGCGCCACTTAAGCCAGCGGCGCTTCGGCTGCTAGTGCCAATACCCACGGGGCGGCGCTTAAGGGAGGAGATGTTGTGTGGGCTGGAGGGAGACTCCATGGGGGAGAGCAGCGTTGTGGGCGACATTGTTAAATCTGGGGACCAGTTGTCAAGAGACTGGGAGGATGTGGGAGGGGGAGGAGGGGGTGGGGGATTGAGAGGGGACCAGGTTTTGAGAACCTAAAAGAGAGGTGATGCCATGCCGTGTGATGCAATGTTGTGCGGCAGGCTGGAGGGGGACTCCATGGGGGAGCGCAGTGTTGTGGGCAACATTGTTAAATCTGGGGACCAGTTGTCGGGGCGACTGAAAGGGGGTGGGGAGGAGGGGAAAGGGGTCCAGTTATTGAGCAGCAATGTTGTGAAAAGGGAGTCCATGGGGCAAGCGACGTTGTGAATGGAGCATTCAGGCAGTTACCTGCTTACCTGCTTATCCAAGGGGACGAGATGAGAAGGCGGATGCGCTTACCAGGGGGGCTGACGAGTCGTCGGTGACAAACTCGATCCACGCAAACCACCTGAGGGCGTGAGGGGCACGGGGCATGAGGCATGGGGCATAAGGCATGGCGCAGAAAATTATATACGGCCAATTTCGCAGACATATGAGGCATTTTGCAAGAAATATGGGGCACGGGGTAAGGGAGTCGGAACTCGGGGGGGGGGGGCGTGAAGCGAAGGTGGAAGTGTCACTGCCAACTGTCTCATGGGGCTGCGATGCATTGTGGAGTGGGCTATGGGGCATGACGCTTGGGAACGGTGAGAGAGAAAGAAACATACACGGTAACAGCAAAGAGCCACCCACCTCGCACCCAGCGCCCTTCCCGTCGCCTGCACAGTCGCATAACTCCTGTTCCGTCTCAGCCTGCGGTAGAAGACGCAGCCGCCGCCCACACTGCCGCCCGGGCTGCTGCCCAGGGAATCCCCCACGCCCACCCCCCTGGGGCTCCCAGCGGACCCCGAGCGGAAGAGGCGCGACGCAGCGGAGGTGGGGCCCATGGGGGGCGGGGAGCGACGCTCGTCCACCATCTGGCATGGAGAGGGGGGGAAGGAGCGCGGGGAAGGTAGGGCGGGAGTTAAAGCGACTTAAGGATCGATGTGAAACGTATCTATCATCTAGTCCTGTGCCCATGTGACACCAGGCATCATGAAATCACGACATTATGCCATCATGCCATCACAGACCATCTGCTGTCATGCCATCCCATGTCTCACCCGCTGCACATGTCCCATGCCTCACCCGCTGCACATGTCCCATGCCTCACCCATCATGCCATCATGCCATCATGCCATTGCCATCCCATGCCTCACCCGCTGCACATGGCCCATGTCGTCCGCATGGCAGCCAGCGAAGCCATGTTCGCCCACCAGCTCCGCCTGCCGCCACCCCAGCATGCTACGCACGCTGGGAGACACGTAGCACAGCCGCCACTGGTGGTGGGGGGGGAGGGGGAAGGAGAGGGCGGAGGAGAGGAGGGGGAGGGAGGAAGGGGTAAGGGAGGGCAGGGGCATGGCCCACAACGCCGTGCTCTCCAACCAGCTCCGCCTGCCGTCACCCCAGCATGCCACGCACGCTGGGAGACGCATATCGCAGCCGCCACTGGTGGGGGGGAGAGAGGGGAGGGAGGGGGCGAGGGGGGAGGGGGGAGGAGAATAGAGGGCTAGGGCATGAGTATGTTCCGAAGCACACCTGCCGCCACCCCAGCACGCCCCCCCCAGCAGCACTAGGGAACCTCAACCTCGCTTGTCTTACCAGCTGCACACACACCATATCTTTTGACGCGCCTCAAAAGTAAACCCACTGCATACATATGCCGTATCTGCCACCCCACTGCTTACATTCGTCCTGTCTGCCACGTAGACAGTCCATGGTGACGTGGCAGAGAGGAGCAGCATGTCAGTGACCAGCGAGAGATCCAGGCCGTCCACTGGAGATAGCGGATCATCCGACGGCCAGGAATCCACCCCACTACCTCTGGAAAGCGGCAGGCAGGGAAAACAGAGACGGAGGAACAAAAAAACCCCTTAATTCCACAAGATTTACACGACAAACGTTGCTGATTGATAAAAGTAAGGGTAAAGGTAAAAAGATATTTGCAAGACGCTTCTACAAAGAATTACTAATAGGGTCAAACTCACAGGCGCGCCTTTCCAGGAACGGCAGTGACGGATGGCGCATTCAGCCTGCCCGCGTCCCCCCCTATGGGCGTGCAGCAGAGCGCGCCGAGCTTTGTGCCGAGCATTATGAGCTCCTCCAGACACCGGATCTCGCACTCCAGTAGCCTGCGGGGGGTTTGAGGAGGGCAGTGAGTGGGGGGAAAGTAGTACGAACCCCTTGCACGCCCGGGTAATCAAGGAGGAAAGCAAACGAAGCTCCGAGTAAACACATTGCGAACGCACTTCTCTAGGACGGATGCAGTGCTAGGAGTCGAACCTAAGAGCCGCCTTACTTAAGAGTCGGTCCCTTGGTGCCGGTGGAGATTAACTCCATGCGCTGCGCGTCCAGCTCGTGGAACCACTTGCGGTACGTCCTTAATCTCTCCGCCTCGAAGCTCCCCCCCGACGCCGCGCCATTGCTTAGGAGCGACGGTTGCGCGCCAAACGATTGCGGGTTAAGCCCGCCGCCTATGCCGTTTGCCATCTTCCCCCCACCAGCGCCACCACCGCCGCAGCTCATACCGCCGGTATTGCCGCCCCCGGCCATACCACTGACATTGCCACTACCGCTGAGACCATTATTATTGGTGCTTCCGCCAATAATCCCCATGCTGGCGCCTGCGCTGGAAAACCCGCTGGTTCCTGTTCCGCCTCCCCCAAGCCCTCCGCCAACCATCGCGCTTCTTTCCCCCATTGCTCCTCCGCCCCCTAAGCCTCCGCTTCCGCCTCCCCCTCCCCCTCCCCCTCCCCCGTGAACTCCCCCGGTTCCGCCAGCTCCGCTTCCGCCATGCGCCCCTCCTCCGCCGCCGCCTTTGCCGGCTTTGAGACCTGGAAGGTTCTCCGAAGCTGCTCCTCCCCCTGCGCTCCCCCCTCCTGCCGGCTTCGCAGGGGCCATTGCGGAAGACTAGCTGCGGGGATTGGCTCCGTGTTTTCCGCCGCGATGAGCGGAAGCTGTGAAAGGTCACGCTGCGGCAAGAATGACGGGAGATTTCTCGAAAGCTTCCACAGACATGGCTGTCGTCGGGTTACCCTGTTACGGTATGGGAAGCCGCTAGTGGTGACTGCAGGTCCTGATTGATACGCGATAGAAACGCTCCGGGGGGGAGGAGCTTTAAGAAAGCCGACAGAGAAGCTAGCGCTTTAAAAATAGATCAATGCTGCGAAGTTACGACGAACATGGGTCACTGAGCATTTCCGGCTGCGCACTGTCACTACACGGCTGGACGAACTGGCAAGAGAGCAGGGGGGGCTAAAAAATACGGCGAAAGCAGTAAATATCTGGGAAGAACCCAACGCCTCTTACTACTTGACCTGCAATTCGAAGGTCGAACGCGAGGCCAGCTTGCTTCTTTCTTTGGATGCTAAATAACTATTCCTTCTCAATATAGAAATCATAGAGCGGCGTCGCGGCTTCAGAGGTGGCTGGAGGAAAGTGAAGGACAGGTCAACGAATTGTCGGAAAGGCGTCTACGGGAACATTCCAGAGACATTGAAAGTCGACCAAGGAGAATAGAGGCTAGTTAAATACCGCGAGCTGCTATACGCGAGAACCGACGAAGAAAAGACGGGAGCCTTGGAAAAAGGATAAACATAAGCGTCAGCCGGAAACCTAAAACTGGCCTGTGGTGGATAAGCGAGCGTAAGAAGCGGTTAGGGGCGGGCCTCGCAGCATGCGGAGTGTGCAATAACCCTAACGGCTGGGCAGCAGCAGTGGCAGCAGCAGTTGCAGGAGCAGTGGCAGGAGCAGTGGCAGGAGCTTGAAGTGAACGCGTGGTGGGGAAGATTGTTCATCCCCTGCTGTTTTCTCAATTTTGGAGTTTCTAAGGTGTTGTGTGGCTGTGGGGCGGGGTATTGCGCTGGTGGTGAAGGAAAAGTGCAGTAATTGTTACTCGATGACGAAACTCGTGAAGCTTTTCGCGAGGTTTTGATGAGCCCAAGGGTTTCTTCGTCGGCGCCGCAGAAAGAAATTGTTCGCTGTTGCGCTGCGAATGTAACAGCCGCCTCTATCTGCTCAGTGTAACAATCAAACATCAAACAACGCTGTCCGTCGACAAATCAACGACGAGAGCGAAACCCATATTAGTCAAGACGAGAATTCGAGAACCTCCGCCCTCGTTGAAAATCAGTAACAAGGTCACCGCCCACTGGCACGACGCTTCTAATCAGAAGCGCCTCGCGTTTCCCTCCAGAAGTTGAACCTTGGGGTTGCCAGAATATTCAGCCATGGAGCATGCTGCTGCTAACTGGTACAGGACTACGTATTCCCCAGAGATATGGGGCCGGGCTTCTAATCTAGTTCCTCTTAAAGCCCGGATCTCAAGTTACAAGCCGCAAAAAGAGAGCGCGGCTTGGGTTCGATAGAGAGGCTTGCTATTGGCTGCGAGGATGACGAGAGCCCGAAGTCTGGAAACTCGTTTGCGATACTCGCAAATGCAAATTGTACTTCGCAAACCAAAGCTCAAACAAGGTTGGGAAGGAAAAACCAAGAGCAGCATAGCACAACAGACGGTACAGCAGCACAGCAGTACAGGAGGTAGGCTAACGCGTCACACCATCAACCAGCCACACTCCGGCAAACGCGGTGAACCAACAGAGAGCATCCGAAGACGCCGGGCATTTCTGCAGCCCATATTTCGCGTGCAATGTCATGACTTCTGCTAGCGTAAGTTTTCTATTTCGCCAGCAACTCAAAGTAGACTCGACCGCAGGTCACACGCATATCGGATTTCCAAGTTTTTTTTGTAAAGAAAAAATCGCGCGCACTAGAATCGGTGGATCGCAAAATGGCGCGCCATTCCAGATAAGCCCATGCGTTACTCTAAGCGTAAGGAATACGTAGGATTCTTCACAAAGTCGGCGAACTAAGGCTCTGAAATAGACGAGAGGCAGCCCCTCGAGTTAGGGAGTTATAACTGCGCAGGGCATATCCGTGACGCATTCACGACCGACGGCGCAGAGCGAGAGAGACGTGGACGTGCGGCGAGAGAGAGGGGGATGCAGAGCGCGAGAGAGGGGATGCGCGGCGAGAGGGAGGGGGATGCACGGCGAGAGTGAGGGGGATGCGCGGCGAGAGTGAGAGGGATGCGGGACGAGAGAGAGGGGGATCCGGCGCTAGAGAGAGGGGGATGCGGAGGAGAGGAAGTAAGAGGAGGTAGGAAAGGGAGAGGACAGGGGGAGGACAAGGAGGGGGAAGGAGGGGTTGAGGACAGGGAGGAGGTGACGGGATTGGAGGAATGGAGTGAAGAGGACGGAGGCTGGAGTGCGTGGAGGAGACTGCTTTCTGCCTCCCTGCTTTCTTCCTCCCTGCTTTCTGCCTCCCTGCTTTCTGCCTCCCTGCTTTCTGCCTCCCTGATTTCTGCCTCCCTGCTTTCTTCCTCCCTGCTTTCTGCCTCCCTGCTTTCTTCCTCCCTGCTTTCTTCCTCCTTGCTTTCTTCCTCATGTGTTCTTCCCCCCTGCATTCTTCCTCCCTGTGTTCTCCCCCCTGCATTCACCCCCCCCCTTGCATTCTTCCCCCCTGCATTCTTCCCCCCTGCATTTTCCCCCCCTGCATTTTTCCTCCATGTGTTCTTGCCCCCTCTCTCTCCCTTCCCCCTTGTTCTTACTCCCTCCCTGATCTCATGCTCCCTGACCATCCCACACTCTCTGCCCATCCCTCACTCGCTACTTATCCCCTCAGTCTGTGTTTGACTTTCACCCTCTTCCCAGCTCTCACTTCTCCCCCTCTCCCAGCCACGATTGCGTGCCTGCGATAGTGTTCAACTCAATGCAGCAGAGGTCATGGCCGAATTGGGCGATTATGAGTCATGTAGAGATTGATGGGGTGCTGGTGATGTAGTAAAACTACCAGGTGACGAGGCAGCAGAGAAACAATAGGGAGGTGGATCGCTTGAGGAACTGTAAAACCAATGTGTGTATTTAACTTGGACACTCAAAGCAGTGTAAACATAAAGCTCATAATCGACAAACCTATTCTAGGTAATGTTGGTCGCAAACACAACACAACACAACACAATTCTAGTGGCACAGCAATTCTACTAACCAAACACTGTGTGCCTCCTGGCTGCCTTGTTTCTCCGCCGCGACCATCAATTGGTCTGCATGCCGTCTCCCCCTCCCCATTGCCTTTCCCACTTTGTCTCCAACCACCAAGGGCCTTCCTCTAACTTCCTTCGTCGAGTCTCCCGCCAGGGTGGGTTGTCAACACCTTGAGTGAGTTTCTTCTGTGTGACAACGGGACGTCCAGCGACAGCTGCGCACACACGGAGGGAGGGAGAGAGAAACAGGGAGGATGGAGTGGCTCAATGGGGTGGGAGAGGGTTTATGGGGCAGGAGACGGGATGGGGGGTTGGAGACGCCGCAGCATCACAAGTGCTATGGGTGCAAGCTTTCCCGTCCACTGCACTCCAGATGGGTACGAGGGGGTGGAAAGGGAAGGTAAGGGGGTGCTCCTATTAGAGTGAGAGGGGGGGAAGGGGAGAGTGGGGAAGGTCAGGCAGAGTGAGTGCTAACCTGGAATTGCCCTGCCCACATCTTTTGCAGCTGTGAGACTATGCACATGTGCCGTTTACACAGTGGCAAAACTCTGAGGCGGGGTGCCTTCTCTGAGGCTCTCACCTGGCACGTGCCCCTTGACTTCACCTGGAAGGCATGCAGCGGGCCTAGAGCATCTCCTGGTGCACTCATAAGTGAAAATCCTCTCCCCCTCCCCTGCTCTCTCTCCTCTCCCCTTTCCCCACGTTCACTCCTCTCCCCTTCCCCTGCTCTCACTCCTCTCCCCCTCCTCTGCTCTCACTCCACTCCCCCTTGGCTGCTCTCAATCCCTCTCTCCCTCCCCTGCTAGCACTCCTTTCCCCCTCCCCTGTTCTCTCTCCTCTCCCCATCCCCTGCTCTCACTCCCTCTCTCCCTCCCATGCCCTCACTCCTCCCTTCCTCCTCTGCTCGCACTCCTCTCCCTCCCCCGCTCTCACTCCTCTCCCCTTTCCCCACGTTCACTCTTCTCCCCTTCCCCTGCTCTCACTCCTCTCCTCCTCCCCTGCTCTCTCTCCTCTCTCCCTCCCCTGCTCTCACTCCCTCTCTCCCTCCCCACCTCGCACTCCTCTCTTCCTCACCTGCTCGATCTCCTCTCCTCCTCCCCTGTTCTCACTCCTTTTCCCCTCCCCTGCTATCACTCTTCTCCCCCTCCCGTGCTCTCACTCCTCCCCCCCTCCCCTGATCTCACTCCCTCTCTCCCTCTCCTGCCCTCGCTCCTCCCTCCCTCCCCTGCTCGCACTCCTCTCCCCCTCCCCTGTTCTCATTCCTCTCCCCCTCACCTGTTGTCACTCCCTCTCTCCCTCCCATGCCCTCTCTCCTCCCTCCCTCCCCTGCTCGCACTCCTATCCCACTACCCTGCTCTCTCTCATCTTCCCTGTCCCAACGTTCACTCCTCTCCCCTTCCCCTGCTCTCACTCTTCTCCCTTCCCCTGCTCTCACTCCTCTCCCCCTCCCCTGATCTCACTCTTCTCCTCTCCTGCTCGCACTCCTCTCCCTCTCCCCTTTCTCCACTCTCACCCCTCTCCCCTTCCCTCGCTCTCACTCCTCTCCCCCTCCCCTGCTCTCACTCTTCTCTCTCACCCCTGTCCTTGCTCGCACCCCTTTCCCCTTTCCCCTTCTGCTGCCCCTGCTTTCCCTTCCGCGATCAAGCCGCTCTCCCTCCCGTGATCACGCTGCTCTCCCTCCCGCGATCAAGTCGCTCTCCCTCCCGCGCGAGCACGCCGTTCTCCCTCCTGCGCTCACGCCGCTCTCCCTCCCGTGCGATCACGCCGCTCCTCCTCCCGCGCCTCACACTGCTCTCCCTCCCGAGCGCTCACGCCGCTCTCCCTCCTGCGCTCACTCCGCTCTCCCTCCTGCGCGCTCACTCCGCTCTCCCTCACGTGCGCTCCCTGTGCTCTCCCTCCCGCGCTCACTCCGCTCTCCCTCCCGCGCGCTCACTCCGCTCTCCCTCCCGCGCGCTCACTCCGCTCTCCCTCCCGCGCGCTCACTCCCCTCTCCCTCCCGCGCGCTCACTCCGCTCACCCTCCCCTGCCCTCGCTGCTTCCTCCCTGCTTTCGCCTCAGCCACTCTGTGCTATCGCGCCACTCTGGTAGGTTTTGTCACGTCACTCCATCCCTGCTATCGCGTCACTCCGTGCTATCGCATCACTCCATCCCTGCTATCGGGTCACTGCCGTCCCTGCTATCGCGCCACGAGGTCGCTCCTATCGCGTCCCACCAGTGATCTTGGCCTCTGTCGTGCCGATCCCTCGCTGTTCGCAGCGGCGCTCTATCCCTCGCTGTTCGCAGCGGCGCTCTATCCCTGCTTTCACCTCACACTCTCGATGCTCCCGCGTCACTTCCTCCCTCGGGAACTGTTATCAGCGGTTCGCAATGCTTAGCCGGTCGTCGCGGGATCTGCGTCATTATCGCTATCATTCCTTATGGCGCGCAGTTTCGTCTAGGCTTGGCTACGCGCGCGAGAAACCTCGCATGCTGGCTAGTTTCTAGTCACTAGTCAGTCACGCCTTGGTCCCAATTTACAAAAATTGATAGCAACTTTCCCTCGGCTGTTTGAGCTGAGAGACAGCCGGGGGGTTGGGCTGCTTGGGCGAAGGTGTTTGCTTGCCTTCTACCAATCACGAGCCCCTTTTACAGCCACCGCGTCATTGTTCAGTTTCATCCGGGTGCATGGGGTTACCCTTTTTTTTTGCGCTACGATACTGCTAGCAAAAAAACTCGCGCCTTGCAACTTGGGATC